TTGTGGAACGTAATATTTTATTTTTAAAAATATTGTGGAACGTAATATTTTCAATAGTAAATCTTGTGGAACGTAATATTTTCTGTTAACATATTGTGGAACGTAATATTTGGAATAGAAATTCTTGTGGAACGTAACATTTTCTATAGTAAACCTTGTGGAACGTACAATTTTTTTTCCATAAAGTATTGTGGATCATTATTTTTTTCATATATTTTCTAGATCCTACTAAACATCCCCTCCTTGTTATCAAATATTAAAAAGAACAACAACAATTTCCCCCCACACATAAAAACCATTATATTTGTTGTTGTTGGTGTGTACATGAAAATTGCAGAATTTTTGTCTATGACAACGATGACATGTCCCGCCGCAGCCCCCTCTCAAACAAACCGAAAAACGAGAACGCACACTAATGCAAACGACAACAAACAATATGTGTCTCTCTGTGTGTGAGAGTGTGTGGGTTGATGGTTAGGTTCTAGGAGGTGATGCAGCCTTTACTACTGCCAGGGGAATATTTATTATAAGCATTTATAAGAAATTCCCGACTATGGAACGGTTAGGTGGTAAGTGTCAGACAGTCATGGCAGCAATAATTTTTGTTAGAACCGATGAGGGGGCGAAGTAGGTGTCTAACTACAATAGAATGGAACTAGTTAAACAAATCAAAAAAGGAAAGAAACAAAACAAAGAAAAATAAAATTGGTTACAAAAATGTGCTGGTGGGAAACCGTCACAATCAAAATGAACAAACCTAACCCAACCACCAACAACAAAAGAAATACAATAACAAGAACAACAACGACGACGATGACTGTGAGTAGAAAATGTTACACTTAAATTAATTGTGGCCATAATAAAATGGTAAATTACACACAACAATTTTCTTTGAACATTTGTTAGTATGTATCAAATAACAAAAACTTACGTAATTTTGATATTCTTTTTCTAGGATTTCCAAAAAAATTCCATTGTGTTTATATTTAATGTTGATAATTTTTTAAATCAATATTTTCTTCATTTATTTCAATTAGAACTCCATCTTTACTTCTTCACATAAACACACACACACACACTTGTTTGCACACACACTCATGAGCACAACACATCTACATCATATCATTTCGTATGGGATTCCAATCAGAAGAGCACTTGTTTGTTTAACTAAGCATTGAATTCCACAGCATACTTTTAGGCGCTATTATTTGCAAATTATTTTCTTTCTTTAAAAACTTAACATTATTTATTTTCTTTTGATATTTTTTCAGAAAATTATTATTTTACAAGAATTGCGTTTTATCGTAAACATTTATTAACCATTATGTTTTTTTGTTTTGTTTTCGGTGATTATTTGACGTTCCACTACTACTTGCCACGACATTTAACTACGAACTAACTTGTCTGCTTAAGGCCAATTTTTATTGTAGCCTGACAATGGGATTTATATCAACACACACACACTCATGCATACCATGTCGTGTCAATTGTTAAATTGATATGTCTCTGAAGTTCAAACATGTTCGAAGTTCGATGAAGTTGAATTTTTTCAATGGCATTTGAAATGGAAATATTGTTTTCGATAGAAAAATGTTAAAAACCGATCGGATTTAATTGGAAATGTATTTTTAAACAATTTTGAAAATCAATACTCCCATAGGGAAAAATAATAAAAAAAAAACTGACAACTTTGATTTTAGGCTTTATAGACGAGAGAGCCAGAAATTGGGTTATAAACGATGCACTTACCGACGATTTGAAATCCGTTTTTTATACACGATCAGAGGGTCGGCTTTATTTACAGTCGAACTTAGAACCTGCTTTGTATACGAAAATTTTACAGGGCGTATTTATAGAAGAGCTTAGGAAAGTCCCTATAAAAGATAAGAAGTTCGGAGACAGGTCGGATTTTATTGGAAACGTACTTTTAAACAATTGTGATGAATCCACCTTCAGTAAAGAAAGAAATAAATATCCCTGGGAGTTTAAAGATGAGCTGAAGGGCGTATTTACAGTCAAACTCAAAGCCGGCTTTATACAAGAGCTCAATGTCTCTATAAATGATCTGAAGGTGGTGTTACAGGCAAGATAAAAGACGACATGAACAGTTGACCAGATGTCGTTTTTACATACCATCCCAAGGGCGTGTTTATAGACAAGCTGAATGAAGGACGTTTTTACATAGGATTTTAATGGAGTCTCTATGTCTAAGGGAGACACTGACTATTCATTATAAAATTCTGTAACATTTTTTTTTAATTAGATCTTTTCTATCCCTAATTCATTCCTTTAAAATAAAATTAATTTACCCCCATTGAGCTTCACCACATTTACCCATTTTAAATGATATTTTCGTTCCCCTATTTTCCCCCATTTGGCATTTAGGCAGCAAGCAGCTGGTCAAGGACCTCATAAAGCTTAAAACACACGAACCTGACCCTTTTCTAAAATTCCATGAATGCACAAATTGAAAGGCTTGCAACCAACCATGACAGAAAAAACACAAACACACTCGCAGCGTTTGCGGCAGGAACAGTTTTGCGAACAAATTTGCACCTTGTTCCTGCTGCTGCTGTTTCTGTATCTTCGTACTTTTGTTATTGTTCGTTGCTCATGCATCGAATATTGAGAATACCATTTTTTTCTGTGTTGCGTTGCACAAAGAAGGAACTATTGCAACTGGAGAGCTTCAGTCAGTGCAAGGAAATAAGCGAGGATCGTTTAGGAAAATTTGGGTAATCTTTTAAATTGATTTGAAAATTTGATTTTGATATTAGTATTAAATACGTTTCCGTGAATTCCATCAGTAAAAAAAAATCTTGGCCTATGCTTTATCTGTTTTTGTACTCAAAAAGTGTTTTGAATTTTATATATATAGAATCGAAAACAATTTGGATTTGAAGAAGATTCCTTGATTTACTGTAACAAGAGAAAATTTTTGAAAATGTTTTCCAAAATTGATCACCCAGCCCTCCCTTTACCTTTATGTCCCTTTACCTTTATACTTTCCAATATGTCCTTTGAGTTTTTATTTGTCCCTACTCATTCCACGCACGCCCAAAAGCCCTCCCACAAATCATATAACGGAAAATGCTGAATACCTCTCATACCCCATTTTTTATTCGGTTTTGTTTTCATTTCTTATTCAAATGGACGACGATTATGTTAGGCCGTTTGAGTGTTCCAACGAGGACTAGGACGACGACAACGATTATGTTTTATTTGTTGCTGTTTTATTTTTTTTTTTTATTCGAAACTTCAAACAGGAACAGGAAGTGCATTCGTTCACCGAGGTGATTTGCATTGTTTGAACTACGACAAGGAAAATAAAAGAGTATAACGATAATCCTGCCGACAACGACTATGGCGGCGGTGGCGATGATAATGACGCGCTGAAACGTGGCGGAGGTGAGTGTGTTAATTTACATTTTACAAGCGCATCGTTTGCATTTTACCTTGCTTCTTCTCTTTTTGTTCTTGCTTCGCTTTGTTCTTTAGTGTGCGGTTTTTAACTTTGAACCGTTAAAATTCCCAATGCTAGTTTCGTTGTTGTTGCTTTTTTGTGTTACAAAGTTGTTTGTAAAACTTAATAATAAAAGCAAACATTTTAAAGTGCAATTCTTCTTCTTGATTTTTTTGTGAGTTTGCTTACCTTGTTGTAAATGGTGTGGTGTGGTGCGAGGTTGAAAATTACTCATCCGTTTGGCATTTGGAGTTTAAGGAAAAATTAGAATATATTTGACTTTAAGGTTAAAGTTCGACCATGAAGGTGGTGAGACACAATTAAAAAAAAAAACAATAATTCGAAATAATATAAATTGTACTTAAATGACTTATTTCTGTCTTTTGTCTATAAAGTCTGATTTCATCTTGTCTATAAAGCCGTTCTTTAGCTTCTCTGTGGAGACTTCATTCAACTTTTCTATAGATACTTTCTGCAGTTGAACTATTAAGATTCCTTTAGGGTTTATACACGACCTCTCTTCTGTAAAGATGTCCTTATGTCGGTATGTAAAAACGCCCTCCAACGCCTCCGTAAAAACGCTGGGCGTTTAACGAAACGCCCTCCAACTCCTCCGTAAAGACGCCGGGCGTTTTAACGAAACGCTTGGCTGTTGGGCGTTTTTACAGACGATCATAAGGACGTCTTTACAGAAGAGAGTATTTGAACACGACCTGACTCTTAATAGGTAATCTGCTGAATGTCTCCATAAACAAGTTGAAAGAAGACTTTATAGAGGAAAAGAACAAGCATAAATAAGTATTCGATATTCCTTTCGGATCAGTCTTCTTCTTAAAAGATTAGAAATATATTAAATAATTCTTTATATTCGGAATTTGAACATTCCTTTCGACCCCGAAAAATCAATATAAATAAATTTCTATTCTAATTTGAAATTAATTTGTATTGAATCCATGTAATTTTATAATAAAGTAGCAGTTAAAAAGGTATCATTCACATCGAGCACTTCAGCACTAATTACAAAATTTATCAATAATTTTCTTAAGGTCAGTACAAACTATCAGCTGTAAAAACGGTCAAACAAATATCATTTAGAGAGAATTGTCATTCAAAACTGATAGTCCGTACCCCACTTTATATCACCGCCTGCTTTGAATGATGTCAACCTTATATTATTTTTAATAAAACTACAAATGTTAACTGACCATATTTTATTGTAGCATATCTACATTATGTACAATTTACAAACTAAAAGATAAATAACTCGATAATCTACAATGTAGAAATTTCGATATGTTGCTGTGTAACATTTTCTCATATATACTAGATATTTTGTTTAAATATTTTACAATAATACATTTATAATTTAACTTCTAAAACTATTTCCAAAAACCGTTGCCGAAAGTTTTCCATTTGTCACATTTTGGGTCATCTATTTTGAGTTCAATTTCCATTTTGTTTCATCAATTATGAAATCTCTAAAATAAAAATTAATATTATTGTATATAGCCATTTTCTTCATTTTATGTAATTTTTCAATATTTACCTATTCTCCATTAATTTATTAACCCAAAATGCTCTCAAATCCTCCAATTTACCCGCCTTGCCACCATACTCATTGGGTAACATTTCGCGGGGAAAGAATTTATAAGCTGTTTCCGTTTTGGGCATGTGGAAGTGTAGCTAAACAAAAAAATAATTAATTAAATTATTAAAAAAATTAAATACATTTTCCTCAAAAAAATACTCACCACACTAACAAGTTCACCCTTCAAAAAGGGTCTAACCAAAAACATAACCTTATCCAAAAATGATGCAGCATTTATCACATGTACACCCTTGACACGGCCGACATGTGCCTCCTGTATATATTTCATAAACATGCGTATTGTTCCCAGGGAAAATTTCGATAAATGTTTCAGTGTAAATCCTGTCATATCGAAAACAACAATTTCACCAATGGCATTTTCATCGCGCAGCTCCTTAAAACGACTGTCGACCATCATGAAGAATACTTTGAAAACTTCGTTGACATTGAACTGCATCGAAAAATTGCATTAAATAAATGATTTTTTTTATATAATCAATGCAAAAAATACCTTATCAGGATCAATATCTCCCAAACGATAGAGGACCAACTTATATTTTTCCGATGTATAGCCAGGGAGGGTTAAAAAGTCACTAAAAAGTCAAAAAATGAAAAAAATATTAACAATCATTTTGAGCATGCAAACATGTTTAATTAAATCATGTAATTTTTATTGTCAGTTGCATCGAATATATCATTTGAATAATTCAAACACAAATTTCTAAGCTTCTAAATAAGCCTTCAATGATTTCCCTAAAGTACTGTACCGACTATCAGTTTTGAATGATAGTTATGTAGAAAATTTTGACTTGTTTGACATTGTGAGTTAAAGCCTGATTTACACCGAACATATTTTACATCATTTATTTGACATAAATTCAAAGGTAATGGCATGTTAAACTATGATCATAACACATTCGGTGTAAATACGTCCTTAGTCATCAGGGTGTGTACAGTAAGCTGTCATTAAAAATTGATTGTGTGTACCCCGCTTATTACTTACACTGCATTCATTACGATCTGTGATTTCTCATCCTTTGGATCTCGTTTAATGAAAATATGATCATATTTATTACGCATTGTATAATTTGTTGTAATTAATTTCTGGGCAGCTACCTTGTCGCCCTCCATGCACATGAGAAAACGTCGCAGCATCCATCTGTCTATAAAAAGAATTACAAAAAATATTAAATATAAGGATATATTTACATAAAAATATTTCATGAAATTACATTGGCGTTTATTTCATAGAAATTTTGAACATTTTTATTAAAATAACAGTCAGCTGATCATTGTTTATATACGCTAATATTCCTTAATAGTTGCAATGAACAGTCAGCTGATCATTGTTTACATACCCATTTATTCCTTAAAGTGGAGGTCTAAAAAAATGAAAAATATGGTCTAAAAATACATCGTCAGCTTACCTAAAAATCTGCCTTTGGCTCGACAATTAACCTGTCCTTCATATCGTCTGTAAATAGACCCTACATTTCGTCTATAAAGGCCCTATTGAATCTGTTTATTGAAAAAAATATCATATTGAACCGACATACAGCATGAACTCTAAAAACTCTCCACAGCTTGTCTATAGACATCCCTTCAGTTCAACTGTAAATACGCCTTCTTGCTCATTTGTAAATACGCGCTACAGCTGATATATAACGACTCTCTTAATCTCGTCCTCATATTAAAACGCACTTCAGTTCGTCCGTGGTGACTTCCTATATGTCGTTAATAAAAACGAACTTCAATTCGTCTAGCTTATCTATAAATGAGACATTCAGACCTCAGTCAGGTGCTCTGAAAAAGATGGTCTATAGCTAGCTCGACAATTAATCTGTCCTTCATCTCGTCTGTAAACAGGCTCTTCTATACTTCAAGTTTTTTTCAGTTTTTTTAGAAAAAATCTACGGTTTTTAATTATTAAAACTTTTTTTGCTGATATATATAGACGGCTCATCTGTAAATACGCCCTCCAGTTCATCTGTAACTACGTCCTCCAGCTCATCTGTAAATACGCACTACAGCTGATCTATAACGGCTCCCTTCATCAGATCATACGTAAATACTTCTTACATGACGTTTTTAAAAATGAAATTTAGTTCGTCTAAGCTTCTCAACAAAGCCTCCCTTAAGATCCCGTCGATACAGTCGAAAAAATCTAACACAGTCTCATTTTTTGTCATTTATACGTTTTTCTATAGTCAATTAACTAATTCCCAATCGAAATCCAAAAAAAGATTTCAAATATTTCACCTCATACTCGTTACAAAAATGTACCCCAAAATAAAAAAAAACATTGACTTGATGTTAATGAATTCAGCACGTCACAACTAATCAAGCTATCTTTGTCGTCAAAAGAAGGTATCATAAATTTTGTGGTCTTGTCGATTTTATAACACCATTTATATTAACATGTAATTATTTTAACAAAAAAAAACGCAAAATCAGACGTTTTTATTTATTTTTTGTGGCTGTCAAGGGCAAGCTTAATTTTTGTGAGATTGCAAAATAAAAACGCTTCGACTTTGATCAATTTTTTTTATGGTTCATTTTTAAAGTTTGTCATGGAAAATTTAAAAATGTAAACTTGTTTTTTACATTTTAATAATTGTTTTTTAATATAGTTCATAATCTAGTTTACCTATATTTTGAGGCAATTGTGTCTGAGTTTTCAGCCACATCTGCATTTCGTCCAACTGCTTTTCAACTTCAATCATCATTTTGTTTATTATTATTTTGTTTCTTTGGGCTTAATAACACTTAATAATTTTTTTCAATGTCTTGTTGTTTTAATTTTTGCAGACACTTTAACAATCTTTGCTTCCGACTTGCTTTTGTTCGCTTGTTGTGCTCCAAGAGCCAAACAACCTTTAGGTTTTAAGTCGCGTTTTCAACTGAAACGTGAGCTGTATATTCAAAAGCCAAGTATGAAGATAATTCCCAAATAGACCCCAAACCAAATACACTGAAACCCGAAAATAATAAAAAAAAAAAATCACAGCCGAAAGAAGCACACAACATAATTATGAGGTTTGGTTATTAACGAAGTTATAGATTGTTGTTGTTGGAATAACTTAAAAACAACCAAAACATAAACATAAAATTATGTTAAGTAACACCCCCTTAGTTTGAAAAGCACTGTGGCAGATAATTAATTAGCCGATTGATGATTGAGAAATTCAAATTTCAATCAAAATGAACATGGACATGGTGGAGGGTATATAAAGTGGAATAACTACAAACCAAAAAAACAAAAACAACTACAAACAAAAATGAATTTTTGACCTCTAAATTTCACAAAAAAAAAAAAAAACAAATAAACCAGTTCTTATTTTTGTTTTCTTTTGTTAATATTGCAATGGAATATTTTATTTTTTCTAAAAGCCAATGCATTTGGGTTAATTTTTCTTTTGGATAATCGGCAGAGGAGGTAGTTCAAGTTAATAGGAGGCTAAGAGATGTTTATTGTTAAAAATATTTTTATATTCATTATAGAAGTGTTTGAAGTAAGTGTTATATTAATAGTCTTAATAGAAATTGAATTAGGTTTTTGTAGTCGCCAAATTATTAGCATGAAATATTGGCGCCCAAAATGTATAGACGAACAAAAAAGGGGTTTCAAAAACGAAGGCAACTACTAATATAGGAAGTCTTACATTAGTAATCTTAATAGAAATTGAAAGACGCCAACTTGATAACATTTTAAATTACAAAAAATATTGGCGCTCAAAATGTATAGACGAACATAAAGGGGCTCCAAAAATGAATATAATATGGGAAGTGTTAAATTAGTAATTTCAATAAAAATTGAAAGACGTTTTTGTAGACGCCAATTTCATAACATTTTAAATTAAAAAAATTGCACCCAAAATGTATAGATGAACAAAAAGGGCGTTCTACAGGCGAAGGCAATATTAATGAAGATATTTTTATGATTACAAACTATGAGTCTTTTAAGACAACAAAAAAATAAATAAATAAAATCCGTCAAAGACTTTTAAAATTTTTACGTTTAAAAGAAAATATTTATCTCAAACTGAAACATCATCAATTCACCTATTTCTGCAAGAGTCATTAATACAAAATTTTATATTTTCATCAATACAGGTTTATGTGACATAAACACACATTTACATATGTCTATACAACACTAAAAAAACACACAGATAAATAATTCATAATGATTTTCTGTAAATGTTACGTTAGGATCCCTCAAAGCATTCAATAATAATTATAGTCATATTTCTTTTTTTCCTCAATCACTTTCGCACTAAAAACCACTTCATAAAATTACGTACATTCATATTATTTGTATGTGTGTGTTTACTGTCAATTTGTAGGTAGTTTACCGATGTTACTACCAGTTGCACTAGGGTCATAAACCATAATGGACAAATGCAAAGTGTTTACAGAAAGAAAAATTAAATTTGATTTAAAAAAAAATCTGGAAGTTATACTGAAATTAAAAAACAAATTAATTCTCTCTCTAAATTATATTAAAAATTAATTGATTTGCAAATTAAACTGTTTTACAAGGGGTAATGTAAACGGGATTTTTGTTTAAGGCACGGCCAGACTATAGCCTTTATCGTGATAATGTGCATTTTCTTAATTTTATTGGGTTACCTCTATTTACCATACAAAATTAAATCTTCTAAATATCTCATTTTGTTCCATACAAAATTAATTCTTTTAAAAATAAAATCATGTTAATACTAGTCTAAACATCTATGATTTTCCTCGATTTACAATTCGATTCGATTTAGAAGGTATAATATTAAAAATGCCTTTTACTTGATTAATTTTGCATATTTAATAATCAGCTGACAGGAATTTAAATTATCTTAAGTCGTGTCACAAAACTTTAAAAGTATTCTGCTTAGCGAAAATACAACAACCACATGGAAACGATATGCGCTTGTGTTATCGTTTCCTTGTGGTTGTTGTATTTTGATAACATGTTTATGTCCCTATTTATGTCTTATTAAACATATTTTTCATATTTATTTCTTATTTTATTCTTAATAATCATCATTGACATTGAAATCTGTCACCAAATGTCTAGATTACTTTATATTTCCCCTTTTCACATTTGTTTAATCACATCAACTAAAGCACCCTTATAAACAGCTGATTCTCTATCTACGTTACGTTCATCACTAACCACAACGCATTTAGTATCAAACGCCGAAAATTTCATGTGCACGCAAAGTTTTCTTTTTCTTCGTTTCAATAACAATAATTAATTTAATGCGATAAGTGAAAAAAATTTGCCTTTTTAATTTATTTTCTTCAACAAATGGATTAATTTCAAGTGAATGTGTCTAAAATCCATGAATTTGTTGCAAGTAAACAAATAGCATCGTGCCAAACTAAACTAAACGTCACATCAAATAGCAACAACAAAAGCACGAGGTTTTTGACAACAAAATTGTTTGTGTGTAGAGAGGAAGCTAAGCAAAGAACTGGTGGTGGTGGTGGTTTGCGTACTTCTTGCCTAAAACACACAACTGGCAATATTTTGAAGCCACAATTATTAGTGGTATAGAAAAAACAAGAACAAGGACAAAATGGTACCAATAGGACCAGTGCATGGTGGTCATCCAGGAGTACATGCTCCCCAGCCCATACCACCGGCCGGACCCAATACACTACAATCTTCACAGTCGAGTGGTAATACATCGGCCTCATCGAACAAGTCATCATTGTCCATCAAACCAAACTATACTTTGAAATTTACTTTGGCCGGTCACACCAAGGCAGTGTCTGCCGTGAAATTCTCGCCCAATGGTGAATGGTTGGCCAGTTCATGTAAGTAATGTAACATATGCACACCAATTCCAATTTTTATTGCTTCTTTCTTTGCAGCTGCTGATAAATTAATAAAAATTTGGGGTGCCTATGATGGCAAATTTGAGAAAACCATTTCGGGGCACAAATTGGGCATCAGCGATGTTGCCTGGTCTTCCGATTCAAGGCTTTTGGTAAGCGGCAGTGATGACAAAACCTTGAAGGTGTGGGAGCTAAGCTCTGGCAAATGTCTGAAGACCCTTAAGGGTCACAGCAATTATGTATTCTGTTGTAATTTCAATCCGCAATCTAATCTCATAGTGTCTGGTAGTTTTGATGAGTCCGTACGTATTTGGGATGTGAGGACTGGCAAGTGTTTGAAGACACTGCCCGCCCATTCCGATCCAGTGTCAGCGGTACATTTCAATCGTGACGGCTCACTGATTGTTAGCTCCAGTTATGATGGTCTTTGTCGTATTTGGGATACGGCCAGTGGTCAATGTTTGAAGACCCTCATAGACGATGATAATCCACCCGTTAGTTTTGTTAAATTCTCGCCCAACGGAAAGTATATTTTGGCCGCTACACTTGACAACACATTGAAATTGTGGGACTACTCCAAGGGGAAATGTTTGAAAACCTATACAGGCCACAAAAATGAAAAGTATTGCATATTTGCCAACTTTTCGGTGACAGGAGGAAAGGTAAGGGTTGACCCCATTCAAAATTACAAACATTATTTAAAAAATATCTTACTTCTTTATTACAGTGGATTGTATCGGGCAGCGAGGACAACATGGTTTACATCTGGAATTTACAATCGAAGGAGGTGGTTCAAAAACTCCAAGGGCACACAGACACCGTATTGTGTACGGCCTGCCACCCCACGGAAAACATAATTGCATCGGCCGCTTTGGAAAATGACAAAACCATAAAATTATGGAAAAGCGATACATAATTATTTAAGAATTCTTCTATCATCAGCATAATTTGTATTTTAATTTTAGTAATTTTTCGTAACTTAAGGCATAAACAAACAAAAAGGAGCAAGAAATTGGCATTTCTTAAAAATAAAATTTCCAAAATTTCATTTAAATTTAGCAAAAATTGGTATATTTTTTAATTTTCCCTTCTGATCTTCGTATGGTTTCCGTAAATGGTTTACAAACTCTACATGTATCTCTCTTTGTATTTGAGAACTTTATTTGAAAAATAAAGTAAATATTTTAATATAAACATTTATTGTAATTTTTTTATTACAAGACTTTGAATAAGAAATAATATGCCATGAGGGTATTTTAGAACTTAATTTCAATATCTAGAATATCTTTTTCTAAAATTTTTATTAGAAACCAAAACTGTTTGGAATATTGTTCTGGAACATTAATATTAGTCACTTTAGTGAGGAACAACTGTATTTTGTATTCATTTGCATCAATTATAAACCCCTTTTGCCTCTCATTTTCGATCTAGAGTACCCTATCATTCAACTGCAAAACAAAACTCGATTGTCTTAACCCTAGTCCAAAACGAAAGTCGATTGTGTTAACCCTTACCCATAGTATAAAATTGCATACGTTCCACGTGAAACTTCTACAACATTCACCCACATCAGGCAGGCAGTTGCAACACCCTTTCTTCCGAACGCGTCCTAGTTAGTTAATTATATTTATTTGTATAATAGTCCCATTTTAAACATAAAAAATGTCCAAAAACAAGGGTAAGAACAAGAAGAATCACTTCGACGACGATGATGAAATTAACGAACAGCCAGCTGCTCCCAAAAAATCACAAAAGAAAGACAAGAAAGGAAAGAAGAGGGGCGATGATTCCGACGATGATGTGAATGATGACTTGGAAAGTTTACAGTCGGCCAGCAGTAAAACGCCATCGCAACAAGGTCAACAATCCAATAAGGGTGGTAAAAAAGGCAAGAAAGGTAAAAAGGGCAAGGACGATTGGAGTGACGAGGATGAAGCCGACGTGCCACAACCGGTGGCCAGTAAAAAGAAGAACAAAAAACGCCAGGATAGTGATGATGAGGATGCTGATGAACCCGTAGCTGCTCCAGCCAAAAAGAACAACAAGAAAGCCGGTAAGAAAGGCAAAAAGGCAGTCGAAAGTGATGAAGATGACGATGATGTTAATGCCGCCGAGGTGGTGGAAGATGTGCCTAAACCTGCCAATAAAAAGCAACAACAGAAAAAGTCCAAGAAGAACAAGAAAAAGGATGATTTCTCCGATGATGACGATGATGATATTGACATCCTAAAGAAGGCTGCCGAAGAAGATGATGAAGATGACGAGGAAGAGGATGAACCCGTAGTTATTGCCAAACCGGTGAAAAAGTCCAATAAAAAACAAAAGAAAAGCAAATTTGAAGTAAGTGAAGATGAAGAAGAGGAGGAGGAAGAAGAATTGCCGGAGGAAGATGTGTCTGAACCGGAACCAGAACCAGAACCGGTACCTGTGAAAAAATCCCCTTCACCTAAAAAGACTGTGGAAACCCCTGCCAAGTTGGAAGAAAAGTTAGAAAATCTCCAAATTGATGAAAAGAGTGGAGCCGAAGAGGAGGGTGACGAAGAAAAGGAATCTACTCCTGCTCCTACGGAAGAAACCGGTGGCGAAAAATCTAAGGAAAAGAAACTTACCCACAAGGAAAAGAAGAAGCTGAAGAAACAAGAGGAATACGAACGTCAAATGGAATTGATGACCAAGAAAGGTGGTTTGGGCCACTCCGATTTGGACAGCAATTTCACAATGTCTCAGGTTCAAAAGACTGCTGGTCAGAAGGCCGCCCTCGAGCATGCCGTCGATATTAAAATTGAAAACTTTACCATCTCAGCTAAAGGTGATTCGGAATTTCTGTTTAACCACATAATTGAAAATAATTTCAAAATTGTTCTCCTTTCTCCGCAGGTAATGACCTCTTCGTTAATGCCAATCTGTTAATTGCCCATGGTCGTCGTTATGGTCTGGTGGGTCCCAATGGTCACGGCAAGACCACACTTCTACGTCACATTGCCACACGTGCCTTCGCTATTCCACCCAACATTGATGTATTGCTCTGCGAACAGGAAGTTGTTGCCACTGACAAAACTGCCGTTGAAACAATCCTGGAGGCGGACACAAAACGCATCAATCTCATGAACAAATGTAAGGAATTGGAAGAACAATTTGCTGCCGGTGACATGAGTGTCCAGGAGGAGTTAAATGACACCTTTGCAGAACTGAAAGCTATCGGTGCCTACTCGGCTGAGGCTAGGGCTAGACGTATTTTAGCTGGTCTGGGTTTCAGCGAAGAAATGCAAAATCGTCCCACCAATAAATTCTCTGGTGGTTGGCGTATGCGTGTCTCCTTGGCCCGTGCTTTGTACTTGGAACCAACACTGCTGATGCTTGATGAACCTACAAATCACTTGGATTTGAACGCTGTCATTTGGTTGGACAATTATTTGCAAGGCTGGAAGAAAACACTGCTGATTGTTTCTCACGACCAGAGTTTCTTGGATAATGTTTGTAATGAAATCATCCATTTGGATCAGAAGAAGCTCCACTACTACAAAGGCAACTATTCAATGTTCAAGAAGATGTATGTCCAGAAACGTCGTGAAATGATTAAGGAATATGAGAAGCAGGAGAAGAGAATCAAGGAGTTGAAGGCCCACGGCCAGTCCAAGAAGGCTGCCGAAAAGAAACAAAAGGAAGCTTTGACCCGCAAACAAGAGAAAAACAAATCGAAACAACAGAGGCAACAGGAAGATGATAATGGCCCTACTGAGTTATTGGAAAAGCCCAAGGAATATATTGTCAAGTTCCGGTTTCCAGAACCTTCCCAGCTACAACCTCCAATTTTGGGTTTGCACAATGTTACGTTCGCTTTCGAGGGCCAGAAGCCATTGTTCATTAACACAGATTTTGGTATTGATCTGACTAGTCGTGTTGCCATTGTTGGACCCAACGGTGTTGGCAAATCCACATTCTTGAAATTGTTGTTGGGTGAATTGGAGCCCCAAAAGGGTGAACAGAGGAAAAATCATCGTCTACGTGTAGGACGTTTCGATCAGCATTCGGGTGAACATCTGACTGCTGAAGAATCCGCTGCCGAATATTTACAACGTCTATTTAATTTACCTCACGAGAAGGCACGCAAAGCTTTAGGTTCCTTTGGTTTGGTGAGTCATGCGCACACAATTAAAATGAAGGATCTGTCCGGTGGTCAAAAGGCTCGTGTCGCCCTGGCTGAATTGTGTCTGAGTGCTCCGGATGTTTTGATTCTCGATGAACCTACAAATAATTTGGATATTGAATCCATTGATGCCTTAGCCGAGGCCATCAATGAATACGAAGGTGGTGTCATTATCGTATCTCACGACGAACGTTTAATCCGTGAAACCGGCTGTACTCTGTACGTCATAGAGGATCAAACAATCAATGAAATTGATGGTGACTTTGATGACTATCGTAAAGAAGTATTGGATGCTCTTGGTGAAATTGTTAATAATCCCAGTGTTGTGGCCAATGCAGCTGTGCTATAAGCAAATGCTGTTTGTTTTTGGAATGAAGGAAGGAAATTTGCATTTTTGTGATGATGTAAAGAGAGATTTTGATTTTTGGAAACCTGTGCGAATTTTTGTATATGTTATGTTTAACAATTGATAATTGTCCCCAGGGAAAATAAATTTAATTCTTTTTGAGAAAGATTAAAGAGACAAAGAAAATCAATTGTTAAATTGAAAAAAGAAAAAAAAATATAAATGATTTGTTAATATTATGTGAAGAAGAAGAAGTGAGTATTAATAAAAATGTATGCAAACATGAAATATTTTAATTAAACAAGATGGGGGTTCTGAAGGGAAATTAAACGAAGAATAAACAAATAAAGTTGATTTAGGAAATATACATTTTATTTTTTATATATTTTTATATGCATACATATGGTTTTCATATTAAAATGTAACAATGTTATCAAAAGTTCAGGCTTATAAGTTGTAATGTACTTTAATATAAATATTTAACATAAAGCCAGCTTTAATTCATTATGGGAAGTTGTAATAATAAGTGTTTATACGGCTATTAAAAAATTGGAATTACTTCACAAAATAACTACAAATTAAATGAATGTGATTGCGAATGATTTGCAAAAGATGTAACCGTTCGGTTATTGTCTAAAGCTGGATAAGTATTAGATTGAATCCGCGAACCTGTTTTATGAGCGGATGATGTGGAGGGAAAGATGTTATTTAAGCTGTAATGATATGAATGTAAAATTTTAAAGTGTTTTTTTAACAAAATGTGTAAAACGTTAGTTTATTCTTACTTATTGGTATACTTTTGAGCCTTTTGTTGTTTAATACATCGTACTATTCTTTCATAGTACTGACGGTCAGCTTTAAGATCATCGCATTCTCGAAATATTTCTTGGCAAGATTTCTTTTCTTCGGCACAATGACGGTTTAATTCTTCTATCGTGGAAGACTATTTTAAAAGAATTTTAAAATTAGAGGTTAGTTATATCGGAATTGATTACAAATCTTACCACAGTTTTTTCCATATGAGCAAGAAATCCCTTGCGATGTTTTCTTTGAAACATCATTATTCGGTAGATGTCTAAACCATCCCTATAGGGTTCTGGATGAAGAAGGACTTTAAGATTGGGCGGCATTGCATTGCCAATTTCGCAAGAGTTAGTATGTTTCATACACATTGGGCATTTGTAGACAACCGTCTGGATGAAATGTCCCTCTAAACAACATTCGCAGAGGATATGTTGGCAAGCCAGCAAAAAGAAACGACATTCCTTTTTAATATAGGCCTTAAAGCATTTATTGCAGTGAATCCAATGGATATATGGCTCATTTTGTGGTCGTTGGGCCATATTTTTTGGGAATTATGCCTTCATATATTTCAAATTTAATGACTTTTTGGTAAGAGAATTGCTGAATTAATTACAAATAATTAAAAAATTGTGTTTTACCGTTAAGTTTTCAGCTGACATTGAAGTGGAGTACATACATAGAAACAAGTTCATCATTGAGGAACGTTTATTTGACATTTATCCATCCCTGAATGAATGCACGTATATTGTTGTCGTCAAACGCCATCATTATACTTGAAATCCTATTTCTTTGTCATTATAATAAATCATTGCTAAACCTGGCAATAGGTATTATTTTTTTGTTTTTGTAGTATTTCATAGTTTATTTGTACAAAACGCGTTCAGTTTTTCCTCCCTAATAGAAAATCGCCATATATTGTTGACGCCAAACGCCGTCATTTTGTTTGAAATTATACTTGCCGTTACAGCTGTCATTGAGTGCATAATCATGACATTTCCCGTCGCTCTCATTTCTGTCAGTGTCGAATGAGAATGAGTACGTTTCGGTTGGTGTGGTGCGTGTGCGGTGTTCAAAAATGTTGAAATCATGAACGAAAAAATCCAAATTCACTTCAGAATTTATTCGGAATCCTATTTCAAACAAAGAATTGTCTTCGCCGAACGACAACAACGAAGTGTGTAAAAAATTTAAGTTTTTTTCTTGCATAAATGTATGTTTAAGGAGAATTTCGAAATTATCCAATGCAAAATTAATCAGGTTTATTAATCAACCATTAATAAGTAATAAAACTAAAAAAAGTAAAGTGTAGAGTGTAGCAACAAAACAAAAAGCAAGCGGCCAGGCAGCACAAGTATATTGCCTTTTTAACAAAGTCGTTGTGGAAAGATAAGTGTAGTGCGAGTGTGTAATAACATAATAATAAGCAGGCAAGCAGCAACAGAGAAAAAAACAATAACAACAACAAGTCACTTTGTTGCCTCGAAACAAAAATGCCTTTCACTATGGATAACCACCAAAATCTAATGGAAATAGATTTACCAAACGGTTCAACGACAAAGGAGGTCCGCCTTCCTATTGTAGGCATGACATGCCAGAGTTGTGTACGTAATATCGAAGGCAATATTGGTACAAAGTCTGGAATTATCAAGTGTCGAGTGGAACTCCAAGAGAATGCAGGCTATTTCACATATGACAGCAGCATAACAAATCCCCAACAAATAGCCAATGATATCGATGACATGGGATTTGAGTGCAGCTACAATGGAGACAATGACGAAAATGGAATAACTGCAGGCGGAGATTCTACTCAGCAGAAATGCGTCATACGAGTTGTGGGCATGACATGCCAAAGTTGTGTACGCAATATTGAAGGCAATATTGGCACCAAGGAGGGCATAAAATCAATCAAAGTTAGCTTGGAAGACAAACAGGCTGAAGTGGAATATGATAGCCAGAAACTTACACCCGATCTCATAGCTGAAATGATAGATGATATGGGTTTTGAGGCAAGTGTAATGAATGGAAATGCCCTCACCACGACGACGACGATGACGCCCAGTAGAACAACACCAGCCTCCTCAAAATCACCCTCACCCACAAAAAGTGTAGGCGAACAAAAGCAACAGGTTGCAACAAATGGAAATGCCACAGCCATACCCATCGAAAAGGAATTCCTATCGAAATGTTTTCTGCACATACGGGGAATGACCTGTGCCAGTTGTGTGGCCACCATCGAAAAACATTGCAAGAAAATTTATGGAATTGATAGTGTATTGGTTGCATTGCTGGCAGCCAAAGCGGAAGTGAAATACAATGCCAATGTAATTACGCCCGAAAGTATTGCAAAATCCATAACAGAATTGGGATTTCCTTCGGAACTAATTGACGAACCCGACAGCGGTGAAGCTGTTGTGGAGATAGATATAATAGGCATGACCTGTGCATCGTGTGTAAATAAAATTGAAACGCACACCAGAAAATTGAAAGGCGTTTCCGAGGCATCGGTAACGTTGCTTACAAAACGAGGTGAGTTGTTTGGCGTTTTCTTTTTATAGTTTGCAGTTTTTTTAATTTAATTTCATTTCAATTGTTTATTAATAGTGATTTTTATCTGTGAGTCTTTGTTGTCTTATTAAAAAAGAGAAGAGAATATATTTGCTTGCGTTAGGGAGTTTTTTTTTTTTTGTTCACATAGCAATGAAATCATATCACAAACAACCTTGTGGGTATATGGTATTAATATTTTTTGTAGATTTATACAAACGTAGTAGTAGTTATGTATGTTCGTTATATTGTAGGCTTTGTATTGTTATCAAAATTGGTTATTTTGCTTTTTATTGCATTAAATGTAGGGGGAGGTAGGGGGTCTGGCCACATTCAACTCATGTAACTGAAAGTAAACAGAGTTTTTTATAAACGGAGTTCAAAAATTTTAATTGTTGTAACCTAGATTTAAAGTTTATTGCACTTTCACTTATTTTGGGTTTTATTGTTTATCAAAAAATAACAAATTTTATGGCATATGCAACTGGCCACAAGGCAAGAAAACTAAACAAAATTAATTTTCTTGCCAAATGTCGATTTACTTTCGTTTTTTATTTATTTCTTCTTATTTCTTCAATTACATTCCTTTGATCAATACACACAGATAAAATCTGTGATCTTTTTTGACAAAGAAGAAAATCAACAAAATAAAACTATGTCAGTGGAACAGGTTTTTGTTGTTATTTGTTTTTATTTCAAAATATACCCTACAAGGGTACATATTCCATGCAAACAATAATCTAATCAAATGGCAAAACTTTGTCTTGGATGGGAACGAAAATAATCTATTCAAAAAGATTTATAAACTTTCAGACCCAGACATTATGTTTTACAAATAATATGGGGATTAGTTAAAATTAAACTGAAAAAGGCATAGCGTACTTAATGTCCTACGATTACTTATTTTTGATATTATTTGTTTTTTGTATATTTACTTGTTACTAATAGATAAAAAATGTAAATGCGATTTTTTGTTTGTTTTCTTTTGCACTTTTTTCTTAAAAACTAGACTAGACTATTGTAATTATTGTTATAGTGAATGTTAATGCCATTTCTTTTTTTATCAAATATTAATAATCTTTTTTATTCTTTTTTGAAATTTGCCGTATACCCCAAGTGGTAACAGACAATCAGCTTATCAACCATAAACAAAAATTACCATTGTCAATAGAAAAAAAGAGAAGGCAATGTATGTTGGTTTGTGTTTGTATATGGAACATATTACCAAATCTAAGATTTCTAATTGAAACTTGTTTTATTTGTTGATTGGTTTTTTGTTTGTATTGCTATGTGCGATCCTAATTCCCATTGCATATTTTTTTAAATGTTTCAAGTTCAAAAAAGAAACTGAAATACACCGTTAGAGCTTAGATACAGATAGCATTCCACAGATATTAGCAACAAAATAAAATTGTGTGATCAATTTGGTTGGTTACGTGCGAACCGATAATATCCGAAAAAAAGTGGCCACACACAATAAGCCAATGCCATGTGTCCATTTTAATCCCAAATAATATACCATTTTCCCGGATTGTATATTGTAGTTTTATTTATATATCAATCATTTTTGAAATGGTTTCGAAAAAGGTCAAACAATCTCTTTTAATATATTTTTTATAATTATGGTGGTGGTGAGTGCATGATTTGTCACTGGCGGCTATCGTATATACCTTTTTTGTATTAATTTCTTTAAATTTTTAAGTTAGGCGAATTTTCTTTCAATTTATTTTGTAATTGTTTAAAATATAATAATATTCAAGCGTAGTTTTAATGTAATTCCTTAAACAGATATTTGATTATGACATTTCCGCCATTTTTCTTGTGATGTTTCTTTCCATTTTCATTCTCACAGAATTTGCCGAGATAGCTACTGAGCTGAGTTGACATTTAATCAGTCAATGATTATGAATAATCACACTATGATTATCATAGGGAACTCATTACATTCTCTCATCTTAATCTCAGAGAATTTAATTTTGACCAACATCAGACAATTTGATGTGATGAGATGGTGTTTTGGCACTTGACATTATTTTGTTTGGATGAATTTGAAGAGAGCCGTACAGTAAATTGCAAACACATCAATACCAGTGTTGGGCAAAATTAAATTGAGAGCAAGTGTGTGCGAGCGTAACTGAGAATTCACCATTAAAAACGGCTGACGTAAGGAGAAAGAAAGAGAAAATGTGTTTACCCATCGACCCTCAGTTACGGTAGCGTATATGGCCGAGCATGCCTGATCAATACTGTCATTTTCCTTTTCTCTCAATCTACACTCAGCGGCTTCTTTAGCACTGTGAATGATCTCACAATAAGAGAAGTTAAGCCGTTAGGAGGGACTACAATAGACTTTGACATTGTAGGACAATCAATTAATTTAATGTAGGAAATGATATTTTATCTGAAATTATTTTCTTTATTTTTATTTAATAAACCCAAACAAACAAAATGAATATAACTATTGTTATCAGTCATCATACGTTTTTCTTTATATTTAGTATATTTAAATCTTAGTTAAATGCTGTCATTTAAATAGCCCTAAAATATGCATACCTAAGTTTCGTACTACTATCAGTAAAGGCATGGGGGACGGACATGCGTGTATTTGTGTGTCATGCAAACATGTAGAGAGATAAAATACGAACAACACAATTCACTGTTTTTTATTTTCATCCATCAAAATTAATTTCCATACCACAGGGCGGGTGTTTTTTTTTTGCACTAAAATATTGAAGTAATTGAATAGTGCTACAAATCAATTTTCAAGTAAATTGAATTTTATCTCTGGGAAAAATAGATCACAATTTATGGAGTAGAATATTTGTTGAGGCGAAGTCATACACATTTGATTAGCTGCGGAATTTAATTATTGATTGTATGGTTATTGTCTCCAGGAAATGCGATATGATCGTCGAGAACGAAGGGAAGGTCATTGCACTGTTCTGCTATTTGAAGTAGCTTTTGTTCAATCACGTCGAGTTTTGTAAACATTAGACAAAGAATATGAGCAGAAAATTGTTCTCCAGTTCATGACCTTCTTCCACAATGCGATTGTGGAGTAAATTGGGTTAAATATGAATATTTTACAGATTTTCTGCTCTATTTAATTTCGTTTTTTTTCGATTCAAACAGCATCTGTTTTTATGAATAGCAAAATGATAAAAACGCTTAAAATACCACATGTTGAATATGGAGCAATATTTTCATATCAGACAATAAAAATTACGTCATGAATGCAGAACTCTGGTTTTATTTTCAATTTTTTTTTCCATCACAAAGAATCCCAGGAAAGTTCTAGAATAACACTCATTGGGAGTGGACAAAAAACATTGTCCACTAATAATAATAAATAGATTTGCTTATTTTTGTAGTTTTTAATAATATAATTTTTAGCATTATTAAATAATAATTATTCTCCTCTCCTTTTGTTTTATAGGAAAATTTCGCTACAATACTGATGTAACTGGCCCGCGCAACATATGCGAAGCTATCGAACAATTGGGCTTCCAAGCCCGCCTTCTATCCGGCAAAGATAAAATGGCCCATAGCTATTTGGAACACAAGGAAGAAATACGCAAATGGCGTACAGCATTTCTCATCTCGTTACTATTCGGTGGACCCTGTATGATTGCCATGATCTATTTTATGGTCGAAATGGGTAATAAAGGACATGCCGCCATGTGTTGCATAGTACCCGGCCTGTCTATGGAAAATCTGGTTATGTTTCTGCTCTCAACACCAGTGCAATTTTTCGGTGGTTGGCATTTCTATGTCCAATCATACAAGGCCATAAAACATGGCAGCACCAATATGGATGTCCTCATATCGATGGTCACAACAATTTCCTATTTATATTCGGTAGGTGTGGTCATTGCTGCTGTCCTCATGGAACAAAATTCATCACCTTTAACGTTCTTTGATACACCACCAATGCTATTGATATTTATATCATTGGGCCGATGGTTGGAACACATAGCCAAGGGTAAAACTTCCGAAGCTCTGTCAAAACTATTGTCGCTCAAAGCAGTGGAAGCTGTTTTAGTTGAAATTTCTGCAGATTTTGAGATTACTTCGGAGAAGGTGATATCCGTTGACTATGTGCAAAGAGGTGACATTTTAAAGGTGGTGCCGGGTGCCAAAGTTCCAGTCGATGGCAAAGTTCTGTATGGCCATTCAACGTGCGATGAATCACTGATTACGGGTGAATCAATGCCGGTGGCAAAACGCAAGGGGGCTGTGGTCATTGGCGGTTCCATTAACCAAAACGGCGTCTTACTGATAACAGCCACTCATACGGGTGAGAATACTACACTGGCACAAATTGTACGCTTGGTGGAAGAGGCCCAAACCTCGAAGGCACCAATTCAACAATTGGCTGATCGCATAGCGGGCTATTTTGTGCCGTTTGTTGTAGTGGTCTCCAGTGTGACATTAATTGGCTGGATAATAGCAGGTTTCATAGATCCCGATCTGGTACCAGTTGCCAGGGAACACAAGGCCCACATGGATACAAACACCATTGTTGTGAGTTATGCATTCAAGTGTGCCCTCAGCGTTTTGGCCATTGCGTGCCCTTGTGCATTGGGTTTGGCAACGCCAACCGCGGTGATGGTGGCAACTGGCACCGGAGCTATTAATGGTGTTTTGGTAAAGGGAGCCACGGCATTGGAGAATGCCCACAAGGTAGGAAAGAATTTTGGGGAGAAATTTAGAACACAGAATAATTTTCTTTTTATTTCAGGTCAAAACTGTGGTATTTGACAAAACCGGCACCATAACCCATGGCACACCCATGACCTCAAAGGTCATTATGTTTGTTAAACCTGCCGTTTGCAGTTTGGCCCGAGCCCTCACAATTGTTGGAGCCGCAGAATCGAATAGTGAACATCCCATTGCCTCAGCTATAGTACGCTTTGCCAAAGACATGTTGGCTCAAGAATCGTTGGGCAAGTCTTCCAATTTCCAAGCTGTACCGGGATGTGGTATAAAGGTAACGGTATCACATTATGAGACTGCTCTGCGTCAAGCTTGTCATGCCGAAAAGATAATCAACTATGAAAACAGCTATCGTTCACATGGTAATAATATTGAAAAGGCTCCCATTCATTTGGAAAATGGAGTATCCATTTCGGAATTATTATATGCCACAAATGGTGATGCCGAACGTTCCAAGGTGCAGGCCCAGCAACAATTGCAATTGTTGCAATTAGACGATCAGATAACTGGACAACAACCTGAGGAAGTGGTCGGAGATACAATATCGATAATGGATAGTGAAATAAATGTCCTAATTGGTAATCGGGAATGGATGCTACGAAATGCCATACAAGTTTCGGCGGAAATCAATAATGCCATGACCGAAGAGGAAGCGAAGGGTCATACAGCGGTGCTGTGTGCCTTAAATGGTCATTTGATTTGCATGATTGCTGTATCGGATATGGTGAAACCCGAAGCTCATTTGGCTGTATATACTCTCAAGAAAATGGGCATAGAGGTTATTCTACTGACGGGAGATAATAAAAATACGGCAGCTAGTATTGCAAGAGAGGTACGTAAATGAGAGTTGATTATATTGTTTCAAAAATTAATGGGAATTGTCATTTTAGGTTGGCATCAATCGTGTTTTCGCCGAAGTTTTACCTTCGCACAAAGTTGCCAAAATACAACGCATTCAGGAAGCCGGCCACCGTGTGGCCATGGTGGGTGATGGTGTTAATGACAGTCCTGCCTTGGCTCAGGCCGATGTAGGCATTGCCATTGCTGCTGGTACAGATGTAGCCGCCGAAGCTGCCGATGTGGTGCTGATGCGTAACGATCTCCTCGATGTTGTGGCCTGCCTTGACTTATCCCGCAAAACCGTCAAACGTATTCGATACAATTTCCTCTTTGCCAGTATGTACAATCTGCTCGGTATTCCACTGGCATCGGGTATATTTGCACCATTTGGTATCACGCTGCAACCCTGGATGGCATCCGTTGCAATGGCTGCCAGTTCAATATCCGTGGTATGTTCCTCATTGTTGCTGAAATTATATCGCAAGCCGACGGCTGCTAAACTGCACACCACAGAATATATGCAATATGTGTCCACGGCAAAGGAACGTGAACCTGACCAGCTATCGCTGCATAGGGGCTTGGAAGATCTACCCCGTAGACGTTCCAGTTCATCATTGTTGTCGCGTCTTCTATTACGCTCTGGTAGCGTTAAAATCGATCCCAAAGAAGATTCTCTGCTGGCCGGTGAAGATGTTGACTTCATCAAACCAAAAATTGTCAAATCGAAAAATCTGCAAGACGTAACCGAGCTGCAAAAATTATAGACTAAATAGGCACGCCCCGAAGAGTGGCGCGCCATGTCCCAGTTCCCACGTTGAGAAGAAATATTGTTGAACCAATGACATATTTGTTATATGCATGACATGTGCATAATGTTTGTGTTAGTAAAAAGTGAGGAGGAAGAAGAAGAAGGCGAATGGATTCCTTAAAACTTATATTTTCTTGTTTTGTTTCGTTAATTATTTTCTGAATATTATCACCCCACCTTAATTTAAGAAATTTTGTTTAGTCTACACCGAATCACATCATGTCTTTAAATAACTTGTATACACACATTTAATCACGTTTCATTTTTAAATTTAATTTATAAGATCTAAAACAACATCATTATTTAACTGTAAATGCAAATGTCGACTTTAATTTACATAACAATTGTATAGAATGCTAAATACGTTATTATTCAAAATGGTAGATATTTTTGTTTTGCAGGAAGGGAGGCCACCGCCCGTCCCCCACTAAATGCAAGTAAGAAGTTTTTTTTTGTAAAATATTCTGGTACCCGACGTTTTTTGATTGTGGATTTTTTGGCAGACATATGCTCAAAATAAGCAAACAATAAATACTATACTATATATAAATAAATATTCTATATATATTTTTTTTGTTATAATTATAAATATTTTTTATACGAATCGCTAAATAAATCAAATATTGACCCCATATAACCAGTAATAATATATACGGACTTTTTTATTTGAATTGAAATGCTTGGGTAGGAAATTTAAACTATATATTGGTATATTGGAAATGGAAAAATAACACGCAGAATGTTTCTTCTTGCATCTGGAAAATTTTCTCTCTCCAACACCATTGTGAAACCCCTTCGGTTCTGGTACCTCCCGCGAAAAATGGGAATAAAATGTTTTTCTTCATAACAACTATTGTGAATGGATGTGAAGTTATGTTACATTAAATTACTCACAATAACTGTGTTTCGCCTAAAAGTATGCTATAATTTTCTTTACAAACCAGCAGCTGTCACCAGAAACTTTGCCGTTTTATAAAACTGCATTTTTTTTCAGTTCGTCCTCGGACGGCTCACAAGAAAGACGTAAAAAAAAAATTTTAAATGAGTACTACACGCCCACGGGCTTAAAAATAGATTTTTACAAAATGGCGGTTGTTAAGCGTTCGCTTAACTAACACGTGTGTTTTTAAATACGGATAACCTATAAATTACGAGTCGTTCAACAAAATCCAAACAGCTGCGCATGAAATTTTTAATTTTCGTAAATTTAATAGCAAAAGAAGATGCTTTTCGCTACTATGTGACTCCTTCACAGTAGAAGAGTTCACTGATACACAAGGCTTAGAAAGTCTGAACATTGTGGTCAAATTCTTAAAGAAGATCGAAGTCAACCTGCAAAACACAAACCACCATCTATGGATAAAGTCAAATTCGTAGCAAAGCTACATACGGATACATGGCACTAAACCTTCTATCCCTATAGAAAGTGGGCCAACCAAAATAATATATAAAAAAAAAAAAAAAAAAACTGCATTTTTGTATGGTTTTTCATTTTCGGGTAATAGGCGCCCAGCACCGAACTGTAAGTATATTTCGGAACATAGTTGAATTCAAATGCAAATAACTCAGCAACCATTTAACCGATTTTCATTAATTTTTCACCAATGGTTAGAGGGAATTCTAAAGATTTATTCCATATTGACAATACATAAATAAATTTATGTTTTATTAGAGAAAATTAGCATTTTGTGAAAGTTCAAAGATATTTGAAATATCGACTAATTTTTGTTAAATGCCAACAAAGTAGACACTAAGTTTGTTCGATTTACACGAAATTTAGCATAGCGTATTGAATTGTGTCTAGAATAACGAATACCGTAGATTGAAATGGCGTAAGCGAAAAATTTTATGTTCTGGAATTTGTCCCATAACTTTTGAACTATTGGTGACATTGTAATAAAATTGGTGTCAAATGAAAGCTATGAAGACTGGCTATTCCAAAAATAATAATAATAATTTTTTATGTGAAAAATTAGTTTAAAGGATTCGTTTGTAAATTGTCCCTTTAGCCTAGATTTAAAACTTAAATTTGACATTCCTATTGTTTTGAAATAAAATAGTAATTTATTTAAATAATTTCCCATTAAGAATATTGTTTAATAGTAATAATAAAAAATTAAAAAAAAAACACTTTGAGAGCAATTAAATTCAAATTTTTAATTTGAATAGTTAGATTTTTATAAATTCTAATGACAAAAAAATTGCGGCAATATAATTTGATTTTCACATTATTAAAATATTGAAGCGTCAATCACTGATTTTATTTTTCCATTATTATTGTATAGTTTAGCAATCTTCTATAATATCCATAGCACCACCTCCAGCTGGTGTGCAACGATCACTATTTTCCGTATCGTTTTCGGGTATTTCTACTTTTGTTTTTGTTATGGGATAGACATGCAAATTCTCCTTGAAATCGTTGATATCCACAATTGTGGTGGCATCACCTTCGCGTGGTATAAATTTCAAATCTAATTTATTGGCCAAGGCATTGAACAATTCTTCATTGTCCTCGTTGTCATCAGCTTCGTCGTCTTCATCTTCGTCCCCGTCCATGGCATCATCTGGCTTTTCTTCCATGGCATTATTTTCATTGACATTACCAATAACCTGGACCGACAATTTACGCAAATTTGTCCTTTCATTGTTCAAACAGAAATCAATGATTTCTTGTTTATTCAGTGTCTTCAATATTTCCACTTCTTTGCGTTTACGATCGAATAGATATTCTTCACAGGTTATTTCACCCCAATTGCGAGACACCTCCTCGTTGAGGGACATATCGACAACCTGTTTAATTTTGATTAATGATTCTCGTACATGTTCGTATTCATCTTGAGGCATTTCATCGAGTATCTGTAACATTTTACTACGGAATGCTTCGATGCGTTCATCGACATGGGCAGCTGTATGTTTGGTTTCTTGGGAATTTACGGTAATGGAATAACCTGCTATGCCATAATTAATGCGTACCGTAGAATCAACATAATAACCCAATTGTTCTTTGGTTCGCAACGTATCGAACAGAGGTTCATCCACGAACATCATCAACAGATCCAAAATACTTTCAATGCGCACCGAACACGGGCCGATTTGATAGAAATTTGTAACCACCGTATTGACATCTTTGTCGTTTAGGGCATGACAGCGTATGTAATGGGAACCTTGTGGCAATTGTACAGTTCTATTTTCAATATATTTTGTCTGCAAAAAACGTAGTTAAAATAAGTGGAAATGTTTAGTAAATTGTTTCTCTTTACCTCCTTAATGTTCTGACAATTTAATGTGGTCAACACCGAATTCATAACATTGTGAGCCGTCTCCTCGGTCAAATTGCCCTGCATCAGCGCTTGCACATACAGTTCTTTGGTGTATTTATCGGCAAAATCCAACATATCATCGTAGGTAATGTCATTGAGGCATTTATATTTCTCAATCATGGTCCAGCGTATATTCTCCACAATTGTCAAACGTATATCTCTGAAAAAAAAATCGAATATAACATTTTATTAATTCGAAATTATTGTTTCAGATCTACATACTTATTCAAAGCTTTTGGTTTAATCAAGGCATTGAAATAGCCCTTCTTAACATGCTTCTTAAAAGCCTCCAGCTGTTCCTCAGTTATGTGATCACGCATGTTCACCATGGATTTAGTAATTAAATCCACCACCATGTGTAGCTTTTCGTTATAACCATTTGTCTGCAAGCACAATAAGCAATATAACCATTTACATAGCCATTAAAATCTTCAAATATTTACCTTCAAAACAACACCCTTTTCTGCGGAATAAAATTGATAATTCAAACCAGCCACAGTGGCTGGATACAATTCCTCAGCCAATTTATATTTCACCAAATGGGAATACAATGCACACATTACATCACTGAAAATGTTACAGAATATTAATCCCCTTTGAACCCCAATTTTTTTATTATAAATCTACTCACTTCTTAGGACTTTGCCTTAACAAAGGCGATACAAAATAGAAATACATGAAAGCATCGGGCAACTCAAACTTGTCATCCTGTCTAAACCACAGCTCACAAATGTCCGTTTGCAAAATCTTCTTGGGACCAAATGGCACTTCAGGTTTGCCATTCTCCACCCAAAACAAACGAAAATCATTCGAGATAAACCTGTTTGGTTTGGGCAAAAACAATTCTGGCATCGATTCGCAATTGTCCCACAACTCCTGCCATTTCTGCGGCATTTTAATGGATGTGTATTCCGTGCCAAACCATTTCTCCTTCTTGTCGTAATTAATGCCATCGTATTTTTGTTGTGACGTTATCATTATATTAAAGGTAAACTCATTCAGGTGTTTGATTACATCCTGAACTTGTTCTTCGTTGTATTCGAAATAGAGTTCTGTGCCAGTCAATATATCCTTCGAGGGATAGTACTTTGAACGCACAACCAAATTTTGTACATTATCGAATGCTGCTTTTTGCGAGGCAAAACGGAAACTGGTCGCCTCAATGTTGGCCAATTCTTCATAGGCCTCTTTCAGCGAACCACACTGGGCAAATAATTGTATATAGGCAAAGGTGGCAGCCAAAACTTCATCCAAATGTTGGAAACCACTATCCGTTAAATAAATGCATAAATTGAACAATGAATAAATGGAGTTTGTATCAAAACCCGATTCATCTACCCCAGCAATCAGTTCGAGACCCCATAATCTGAAATGTCAAAAAAGAGACCACACACTAAATAAGTTGCACTTCAAAATAAAATTATCAACCTCACCGCTCACCTCTTTCTTAAATAAGCACACAAGCTACCTTCACCCTCATAACCAATGAGGTATGATAGGAAATGATCCGGTTTACATTTGTATAGCTTTGTCATGGGTGGCAATACCCAAGTCAATTCTAATTTACACACATTCTCCACCGGTTTCACAAAGAACACCTCGTTATGAAACTCGGGACTAAACGCCTCACGATAATTGTACACGCCGAAATCTTTACCATCCAAATTATTGCTGGGAATATCGGAAAAATGTTTAACCACCAAATTCTCCAACTCATCAATTGGCAGTCGAGCTTGTACACACACATACATACGATGACCACTGTAGTGACGTTTACAGAATTCATGTAAATCTTTGTGTAGAACTTCGTCGTCGATATTCTCTTTCAGAGATTTTAAATTACCCCAAGTAAACGTGCTATGGGGATAGTCTTTGTTGGCCAAACTGGCCAGTAGCTGATCACGTCTAGCCTCATCGTCATGTAAAGTTTGTTGGAATTCTGATTCGACAGCTTCTCGTTCACGAGCCATGGCTTCTTTCATCATAAGGGGGGCTTTTAGCAAGGCCGTAAAGTAGTCCATGCTGCTGTCCAAGTGCTCCTCGGAGACCTCAAAGTAGAATAAAGTCTCCTCACACTCGGTGTTTGCATTGTCAAAACCACCACATTTTTTAATATGGGCATCAAAGGCGTTTTCTGTGGGATACTTTTCGGAACCCATAAAAATCATATGCTCCAGGAAGTGGGCCAGACCCTGATAGTTGGTTGGTTCAGTGAAGGAGCCGACATCAACAAGTAATGCCACGGCAGCTAATTTTTCATCGCCTGAAAAAATATAAATGTTGCAGATTACAGGATTTTTTAGTTCCTCTATAATTAAAACTCACCCTCTTCTGAATCTGCATCAGAGTCTCCTCCTTCTGAACTTGAACTACCCGCCTCGTCATCACTGCTCTCACTGGATTCCTCGGCACAGGAATCACCTGTTTCACAGGAAGAGGTTGTCAAGCCATCATGCGGCACTGGACTTGGATCCGATACCAATAATGCATGTAGACCGTTAGCTAACACTAATGTCCTGTGAAGAGTAGAACAAAAAGGAGGTTATGATGCACCCTTGCCGAACATAAATTTCTACATACTTATAATGTTTCTTGTCATTTTCTGATTTATCAGGAATTTCTAAATAGCTAACATCCGATTCCTCGGCACTGACCATTATGTTGCTATTACACTGACGTCGACGTTCTAAATGACTATTTTGCTGATGAGACAACCGACAAGAATACTGTTGACGTTGCTGTTGTTGTTGTCGTTGTTGGTGATGATGAAGATGCCGATGTTGCTGCAGCAGCTGTGCCGACGAATTTATTTGTTGATATTTTGTTTTTATTGATTCAGGTGCTGCCGCTGCTGCTAGTTTCGGAATGACACATAAATGTTTGTCAAACAAATTCTGAGTCTGGAAAGCTATTCTTTTGCCGATAATTACCAATCTGCTTTCGAAAAGCATAAACTAAGCCAATAGCTGGTGGACGTACTGTTTGAGATTTCAATTACCGCTGGTGCACGTGAATGTGAATAAATTATCTGATATATATTAAATAAAACCGTATTTTGTTAACTTTGTTAATTTTGTTATGCCAAATAAAACGACTTAACCTAAAAACTAGAGTTGGGTAGTTCATTGGAACTATTCCGAGAAAGGAACGAACGGAACTAGTTCCAGTTCTTTAATTAATATAATTCCTTTCTCTGATCCAGTTCCTTTTTTGAACTATTTGAAGCAAAGGAACTGTATGGAGCAAAGGAACTATATATGGAAAAACGAAAAAAAAATAATAAAAGAGAGAGAGAGATTCAAAAGAACAGTGGGAAGCCTCCAAGACTCCAGCCTTCATAAAATTCGCTTGTTAATCGTCGTTCTGCCAAGACTCAAGCGACGTCGTACGCAAACCTTCGCCAACAAATGGTCTGTTCCAGTACTTTTTATACCCTCCACCATAGTATGGAGGGTATATTAATTTTGTCATTCCGTTTGTAACTCATCGAAATATTCATTTCCGACCCTATAAAGTATATATATTCTTGATCAGGGTAAAATTCTAAGACGATCTAGCCATGTCCGTCCGTCTGTTGTAATCACGCTATCTTCTGAAGGAATTGAGATAGGGTGCTGAAATTTTGCATAGGGTTGTCTTTTGTCTGCAGGCAGGTCAAGTTCGAAGATGGGATATATCGGTCCACGTTTAGGCATAGCTCCCATATAATGGTACCCCCCAATTTTCGGTATTTTGGGGTTCTTGAGCGCGTTTTTCAAGCGAATTTGTAGTAAATGTATCCACAAAAAATTATAAATATAGGTCCACTTTTTCTTGTAGCCCCCATATAACGGTACCTCCTAATTTTCAGTATTTTTTGGGTTTTTATCGTATTTTTCACCGAATTGGCTGTAATTTAGTATTTTGAGTTCTTAGCAGGTACCAAATATCTCCACAAAAAAATTTAAAATTTAAATTTAGGTCAATTTTTTCGGATATCCCCCATATAAGGGTACCCCCAATTTCGGTATTTTGGGGTTCTTGAGCGCGCTTTTCAACCGAATTCGCTGCAATTTTGTACATTGGGTTCATATTGCGTACCAAATATCTCTACTAAAAATTATAAATATCGGCCCACTTTTTCTGGTAGCCCCCATATAAAAGGGCACCCCAAATTTTCGGTATTTTGAGGTTCTTAAGCGCGATTTTCAACCGAATTCGCTGAAATTTGGTACAGTGGGTTCATATTGGGTACCAAATATCAAATTATAAATATCGGTCCACTTTTTCATTTCAAATACCTGTCAGTATACCTGTGGTGGAGGGTATCCAAAGTTCGGCCCGGCCGAACTTAACGCTTTTTCACTTGTTTAATAGTAAAGCTAGTAAAAGGGAAACATTTCAAGTCTCAGAGTACAAAATAATTTGAAAAGTTCGGGAACGCAAATCTAGTAAATATGCCAAAATTATATGGCAATACTTCAAAATCAACATAACAAAAAGTTTACAAAGAGAAAACCATTTTGATTTGTGCTCTCTTAAATTTGATTCAATGCTTTACCAGTTTTATGGGTTCAGGAACGGTTTTCGAGTAAAAAGTTGCAAAACTTGTAATATTAGTAGATCTTTTAGGTTTTGGAACGGAGCTAAAATAAAAACGACGACTGAAAAATTGAAAAACGTTCCACCTGCTAACGAATGGGAGGAGAAGACAAAACGGCCGATAAAGATGAATTCAAAATGGTATAACCGAAAGTTTACGAATGAGGAGGGGCAAGGGATAGAGACTAAATGGAAACCGTGTTGTTTACGAATGAGGTTTAGGCAAATTTATATAGGGATAAATGTAAATCGACTTTCGATTAATCGACTTTTTGTATTGAAAAGTCTAATGCCATGTACAGAACGACAAGAATTGCCGCAAGTAAACTCGTCTAATCTAAATCAAGACTTACAATGCCGCTTCTTAAAGTTTTGAGGCGTTGCAGAATTGGACGAAATAGCATTAAAACGTAACTGATAAAGCCAGAATCAAAACAAACAAAGACGAAATTTTACAAATAAGGTGTGAGGAACATCGCAAAAGACGTATAAAAGGCATGGGGGAGAATTGACGTTTAGGGATTCGCGCAAAAATGACAACACACTACACAAAGATTCGTTACGATACGTTTACGTGTAGTTACGGAACGTTGCAAATCACCTTGAACTGATAACTTCTGTTTGTCAACGAAATTTTAAATTAAATTAAAATTCTCTTCAAGAGTATACCAACAACGATGTTTTACATATAGATTTAAACGAAAATTAGATGATACAAATTTTCCTGTATTCAATTATCATGAGGCTTTTAGTCCTTAATATAATAATGAGATACTTTGTGAAGTCGGGTAGTTCAAGTTCAGCAGGTGGATACTCTGATGCAGATTCAGAACTCACCCTCTTCTGAATCTGTATCAGATTTAATTATAGAAGTACTAAAAAATACTGTAATCTGAAACATTTAATTTTTTTAACCATGAAAAATTCGCTGCCGTGGCATTATTTGTTGATGTCGGCTCATTCACAGAACCAACCATCAGGGTTCGGAAAAGTAATGAGGTGTTCTTTGACTTGGGTTTTGCCACCCATGACAAAGCTATACAAATGTAAACTGAATCAATTTATGTGAATACATTTGGTTTGGTTTATGAGAACAATTGGTCCGCTGTGAGGAAAACTATTTGTCTTCTAAGAAATCTGAGCCATATGACCTATGTAGCCTTCCTCAAAAAGCCAACGTATTACATTGAAAATTATTAATAATACCGTTTTTGTTTTGTTTATATTAATACTTAAATTTTATTTAAAATTATAAATACATAATTACATTTATATTAATTCAAAATATAATTCAAATGTTATTTCTAACATAAATAAGGATGAGGTTTTATATAACAAACAGCAAAGAGGGTTGTAAAAAATTAAGAATTTATAATTCAAATAGACAAATTCGAAAAAATATATATAGCGAAATAATTTCATAAAATCATTAATTTTTCAAGTTTATGATCATAAAAAAATTAAGGATGGATGAGAGAAAATAAATAAATTTATAAATTTAGGGTGCATGGAAATGTTTTTGAATTTTTGTTTAGTTTTTCTTTCTTTTCTGGTTAAGTGCACGACGTATATATTTAAGTGATAGACCATAATTTAAGATATCTTTTTTTCTCAGAGTTCTTTTTGGTTGGAAAGGGGTTGGATGGTATAAACAATAACATACATAGGGTTGGTGAGAGAAGGGGGGAAAAACATTATTATTAGGGCACTTATGCGTTTGGACTCTGGGCAGTTGAAAAAGTTACAAGTAAAATAGAAATAGAACTTGTAAAAAAATTTACAAGTATATCCACATGAATAACACTCAACACATTTAACATTTAAATTTGCAAAAATTTATTCTCTTTTTATTCTATTAAAAAAGCAAACCTAACAATAAAAAATATGATGTATAATGAATGGGATTTCTAAGTTTCATAGAATAGGGTTCAGCACCACGTATTGATGTTTTGTCTTTTAATTTTATTGTTGTTGTTGTTGTTGAATTAAAGACATGTGGTGGAATGATGAAATCATAAAACTTATTAAGTACATATTTATGTGGTCCTAAATTTGCAATTACTGTGTGTGAGAGAGAAAGGCGTGTGGTATTATTACTACTGTAACTAAAAATTTCAAACCCTATACAATTGACAGTATCATGGAAATTACTGTTTTTTGTCCCTCATTCTCTCTCGTCGTTCCGTAAGGATTCAGGAATTTTGTGTCTTTTAATCTTCCTTCATTAGTTTCCAAAAATATAATTTTCCTCTAAATTGATAATTATGTTTACTTTTTGTTGTTGTTTGTTTGCATTATTTTTGTATAAGTGGATGGCCATAAGTGTTTTATATTAATACTTTCTTGAAAAACAAACAATAGAACTGAGCTAATGCGTGTCTTGGTCTCAAAAATTAAATAGAAGATTTCACGCATTTTTTTTTTTTTTTTTTTTTTTTTTTTTTTGTTGTGGTTTGGGAATTTATTTTTTGTATTATTTCATTACAATTATAAAAAAAATACTTAAAATTTGCAAAAAAACAGAATTGTATAAATAAATAAAAATTAACATTTGAACATCGAGTTCATATTTTTTTCTTTTGTATATGGCTGGTTGGTGTAAAAGTGAGAGTGAGTGTTTAATTCTGTTTTATAATTAAATAAACAAAAAATGTTTTATTTTTGTATTAATAAAAAACTAAAAAAGGAACTCCAATAAGTAGCCAAGTTGTTTGGGATTCTAAAATGCCCGAACCGCGTAGCTTCTTTTCATAATGCAAAACAATTTGAAATAATTTGTTTTTGTTGTTGTTGTGTTTCTTTTTTTATAAATTTGTTTTTTCTTCTATAGAAAAGTAATAGTGTCTTCTTTTTCTTCTTCTTTTTCTTAGATGAAAATTTTTACTATTATTAATTTGTTTTTTTCATATTTTTTAATATTATTTTTATATATTCCTATACTTTCCCTCGCTTTTGCTTTGTTGTTCTGCTGCTACTTCTTCTTCTACACTTATTTTGTAAAATATATAGATAGAGCTTAGCTTTTTATGCTTTTGTGGAATTTTGTTGGTTCAACAATATGATTTCGTCATGTGTGTTGTTTTTAAGTTTTCTTGGTTGCATGGATTTATTTTTGTTCTTGTTGTTGTTGTTAATATTTCATTTGTTTTATTTATATGGGGGATTGATTTATATTTCAAACTAATTTAACCGCTCTTGAATAACAGGATAGCCACTTGACCCAAATAGAAGTAGATAAAATGACGTGTTTCATGTGTCACATAGGATCCGAAATTTCTGCCAACAATACAATGCCATGTGGGATTGTATTTTTTGTCGAATTCTTTCTTGATGAAGGCGGCAATGTCCTATAAGAAAAATGAGGAAAATAATTAAATGTTCTTTAAGCGGTTATTACATATAAAAAAATATTTAAATATATATTGATATTGTGTTACAAATATATTTTTTTTTATAAAAATAAGCATTTTCTTTCAAAGATTTCTACACCTTGAAGGAAATACTTAAGAAGAGTCTATTATTAAAAAGATATTTTACGAAAAAATTTGAATTATAAACAAATTGTTAATAGACGACTACACTTAAAAAAAATTTTTTATAGAAGACTACGCCTCGTAAAATATTTTTTTTTTTTAATGTAAATATTTCTGTAAATATTTTTCAAGGCGTGGATTTTTTAAAATATTTTTTCATGGATACAAGGCGTGGCTTTTTAAAATATTTTTACATGGATACAAGGCATGGCTTTTTAAAAATATTGCAGAAATCAACTCCTTGAGAAAAATATTTTTAAAAAAATCTAGGTCTTTAAATATATTTCATAAAAGTTTAAAATTTCAAAAAAGTTTTTAGAAACTACATTATTACTTAAAAAATATATGACTTTTGTGTTTGAGAATATTGAATATTGCGGCTGCTATTATTATTACCCCCTCATTTCCCCACTTCATTTAATTATGCTATTAATATGCCGCCCCTTACCGGCACTACCAAAACAAATTAATATGTCTCAGGTCTACAAAACATGCAATGTAACAACAACTATGAACATTTACATTATAATTAACTACTTTACAGGATATTATCATTATTTTTTATTATATGTGTAATTCGTTGTTGCCAATAGTAAACATTTTTGTGTTAAATCAATATTTTTTTGCCTTTTTTGCGGAGAATTGTTTTGTCATAACTACTCAACAAAGCAACGCCTATAAACACACATTTATTTATGGGTTGTTGTCAAGGATCTGTTATTCACATCAGGACTATAACAACTCAATATACATGACCGGGAGGGAGGGTAACTTTCACTTTCCCTACACATAGTGCGACATATGTCCTTTAGTTTAGATATTATTATGATAAAATGTGTATGGTTGGTGTTGTTCCGAAACAGGTTTGTAATATATTTTGTTTTGTTAGTTTTCCCCCGCCAACCCCCCAACAAATAAATATGTATTTAATAGGTCAACCGTATAAGGGAGGATTTTTTATATATTTTGAAAAACACGCACATTTTGTTGACCTCCATAAAATAAAATAAAATTCGGAAAACAAGGAATTTTGCTAAAAAAGTTTGTCCGTTATAATTACAATATACATATATATTAAATATTGGTTGTCGTGTTTAGACATAATAACCCTCTCTCCCAATTAAAAAAAAGGTTCAGTCAAGAACATTAAAGATTTTGTGATGTGACGTCATAACATCACAACAACACGTTGTTAATTTCTTAAAAGAAATAAAAACTAGAAATTAGTCTAGATAAATGTTTTCGATATGAAAGTTCAGGGCTTTTAGGGAAAATATATATATATATATATATATTGAACGTATTTAATAGAAAATCATAAACAAATGAATTTAAAAAATTGACCAATAAAAAAATTTATTTTTTTAATCAAGCCTCGATGGTATTTAAAAAATAGAAAAAAATCTGTAAACCAAGACCTAATGGAATTAAAAAAAGAAAAATATTGCTTTAAAATCACGCCTTAATGGTACTTAAAATATATTTTGTTAAAAAGCCCTGATGAACGTTTGAATATATATATATATATATATATATATAAAACTCGACATCTTAATGCTCATTGGAAAAAATGTTTTTTAAAAACCTACGCCTTAAGTACAAAAATGTAATGTTTACAGAAAAAAATATTTTATAAAAATCCACGTCCAATAGTCTTTGAATTTTTCTATATTGCACTCCTTAATTTTATTTTTTGTTTTACAAAGATAGTGGACAAACTAATTACTATTTCCCTTCCATACCGTTTCTATACCGTTCGTTTTATAATTATACTTCCGCCATTGTTTTTAACCATGGCATATAACACGATTATCCCGGCAATTCTTCTTAGCATGAACTGAACACTAAAGCGCCAATGCTGACTGGATGGCTGGCTGGTCAGCCGCCCCAAAAAAATCACCACTACTAACCTCTAATAAGGCAATTTAAACTGAAATCATTGCCATTGCCTTGGTTAAATGCCATGGCTGGTGTAGATTACCATGGCAGGTGGTTGTGGAAGGGCGGCGACAAATGTTATTATGCTTATATATGTTGTTGATGTTGTTGGCAATTGTGATTTAAGCCTGTTATATTGTGGCTAGTTGGGCATATATTTTCTGGTATATATAAATATATATTCCCACCTGACCCAACACTTGCAACCCCTACCTTCACCAAATTTGTTTATGTGTGTGTGTGTAAGCTTGTGTGTTCTAAAAGGAACAACAATAAAATCGTAGTAGTATGGAGAGTTATGGAGGAAAAGGTGATGGTGGCGCATGTCTCTGCTGATGATTTGTCCATTCACCTAAAATCACAATATTTGTTTTTTATGAAAGAAGCTTCACGCCATCCACCCTCCTCCTGGTACTCATCATCATAGAATGCTGCTGAGTGTGAGCATGACTGTCTGTCTGGCTGGCTGAGTGCTGTGTATGTGTCAACCAAAACAATTCTCATAATTTCACAGTGCCTACCTACAGTGGAATAGTAGGTTAGTTCCGTATTTTAGTTAGGCAGGTGAAGAAGAGGATGATGATGGTTTGTGGGGTTGGGTGGTTAGAATTTGGTCTACAAGCAGCATGGCCTTTTCTTGAAATAATTTTCATTGCCGCAGCAATATCACTTCTCTGTGTACATGTGTACATAATATTGATTATCTATTTTCAAACTGGGGGTTTTTCCTGTCTTTCGTTTTTTAATAAGTCCATGACCAAGACAATGAAACAGAGGAATGTGTAAATGGAGGAAAGGCTCATAGCTAGATAAGTGTATTACAAAAATTACATAATACAACAAAAAACAAATACTTTGTATTTTGTGAAGGCAATGTTATTGAACTTTAATTATGGCCCGGGGGTTAAAAAAAAAGGTATTTTATTTATAGAAACGGAAATATCGAGTGGAACAATTAGGAAAATATGCTATTTATATTATTTTGGATTTGGAAAATGGATTAATGCGTTCTTTGTTTTAGAGGTGGGTTTTTAGGATTTTTATCAATTTTTTTTATATCGAAACCAATTGAAAATACATTAATGGTGGATACCATACGAATAATGGTGTAAATGAATTAGTGTCGCCTTCGTGGATATTAAGCAATGGCGACAAGGGGGAAACTAATTGCTTATAAAAGAAACTATAGGACATTATGAATATTTATCATGAAAAAAATCTAAAACGTTTTAGATATTATTCTATTCTATGAATTAATTATTAAGAGTATAATTAAATATATAAAAATAATTAAATTTATAATAACATTACCTCAGAAGTACCACACAAATCCACAAATATTTTCCTTAATGATTCTGTAGGAAATTATGATTTTTATTCATTGTTATAGAGAATGATAATATTGTCTCCAAAATAGATATTCCCTTTTGAAAATTTGTATATAGAAAATATATTAATTGTTGCTAATTCCCCTAAATTAGTATATTGTAAATATTATATATAAATCTGCTTCTCAGTTCTATAAAATATTTTCTCGTTTTTGTTGCTTAATTTTTTCCTATTGTGCTCGTGGCGAAATATCTCATAAATTATCACAATAAATAAAAGAGGAAAGATAACAAAACAACACAAATATCGCAAATAGAAAATTCGCCGTTGCTTATCTTCGTGTCTGTGCAAATCAAAACAAAAAACAATGACAAAAGAGTGATGGAGTTATAATGGGGCTCTGGCAAAGGTTGAATACTAAAATGCAATTGCCAAGATTATACTTTTTCTGGAACAGTTCTTGGCCATATTGCTTTTGCTAACAGCAAAAAAGTAAATAATGTGAAATGCATTTTTTGAAGGTTTAAGAGAGAAGTACATTAAAGTACATAACATCCGTACTGCTTCGCTTATGTGTACACCATTTACTAGTTGGAATTATAACACTTATCTTCATTTTACATAAATAGAAAAGGGCGGCACATTTTAATTTGTAAGATGTGAATCAATGGATCCTACATTCCCAACGTTGTCCTGAGTACATATACAATTTTACATCTCCAGTCTACTCAAACGGACTGATTTTATATACCTGACCTGAATACATATTCAATTTCACACCTTTTTTATATTTTATCCAAATTTCAAACGCTCATATTTACTTCTAAGACTACTAGGTGATTATCACCCAGTGAGGTAGTTTGAGTTTTATATAAATAAACTAAAATAATGTACCAAAACAAACTAATTATGATATTTTTTCCTATAGAATAGAAACCCAAAAAAAAAAAAAAAAAACACACATACCTTTTCAATATTGTATTTTTCCAATGCCTGTGTCGCACAATCAACAGCATCCTGTTGCATTTCTTCGCTCATGTCGGCATTCTTGATAACAGCTTTGCGATCTGACATTTTGTCTGTTTTTGTTTGTGTTGACTACTTAACAATACTTATAGAAAAATAATTGGGGTTTATTGGCGGCTTTTTTGCAGCTTAACTCCTTCACCAATAAGAACTGCAAGAAAAAATTTCTACAATTTGAATTTTTATATACAACAACAATTTGTGAAATTGACAGTTATTTAATTTTCAATTGAGCTTTCTTTGTTTATTACAAAATTACAAAAACAAGTTATAAATATTTACAACGTGACAAACACATGGCCGGTTATCAGAATGTTGCTGCAGCGAGGCAGTCAATGACTGTTGGCTGTTGTAATATAAACCATGTGGTGGTGGATAATGATAGTAAGCCGGCAATAACATTTTTTTTTGCATTTCCAACAAAAGTAAAAGTGAACCAACAACAGTGGAAACAGTTCGGTGTTTTGTGGTGCTTCAAAAAAACGTCTTGAAAATTGTTTTAAAGTTAGAGGCATGATTATATTAAAAGAACATGACGTCATTTTTTTATTTAATATTGATTGGCATGGTAAAATATGCAATAGTGTTAAAACCCAAACAAGCACAGCTATTTTTGTACTATTTGAAATTAAAAAAAAAAAACAACAACTACAAAAATGGTAAACCAGTTCTTATAACAACCGTATATGGCTGGTTGGTTGGTTGGCGATGATAGACGATGAGCCGCATGCAAGGTAGTTTGTTTGTTCTTCCGCCACAACTTGTCTTGGTAGTAAAAAATGTTATATTATAAAAGAAACGTTATTCGACACAAATCTATTTAAATTAGGAAAGACAAAAAACAGTCCATTGCTATGGAAATATTGAACGTAAACTGCATAGCCTACTTTTAGGCTTATATAAAACAATATAATAAAACTAGGTAATAAAATGGCTTGATTATGGTATTCAACAAAGGACTCTTTTTTTTATAATATAAAAATTGTATACAAAATTATTATTACTAAGACAACAATTAAATGAAAATCACAATAGCAACAATAACCCTGACTGACATCCCCACACCACCAATAAATACTTCACATAGTTTTGACTTTCACACCTGACTTGCAAATTGGATGAGTCATACTAGATGAATGAGTAGATGAAAAATCATATTTTCATTTGTTTCGTTTTTTTGCACATCCTTCTATTAAAGAGAAGCGAAAAATAAAACAGCATCACATAGAGATATTTTGCTTAGCCTTTGTGGTGATGACCATACGGAGGGCAACAAAACATTTTCACATCGCCCCCAAAACAGATTGAATTCTTTTTTGTTTATTCATTGATCGCCTTTTTTGCCACGAACCTTTGTTAGCCACCGTTTGAATCATGTCATTGTTTGTTTGTAGGTGAATGCAGAACGCGAGACAGTATAAAACCAGCAGCAGCGCACCAGACATCTGTGACGACCGTCAATATTATGACAACATCAATTAAGTGGCTCTAGCATGGCTGGGTAAATTCAGTTATTGGAGATGATTTCTAATCGAATGACGGCACCTACACGGTTTTACAAGGCTCATAAAATGTGAGGGGGATGGAAATACGAAAGCTAAGAGAATGCTTATTGTTTTTAGAGGAGTATGATTTATGTGTCACACAACCGTATAGTTATAGAAAATTTCGAATTTTTATTTATTGAAACTTAAAAAGGGGCATTTTAGAAGATCCAATAAAGAGTAGAAGCTAAACAAAAAAAATCCCCATCGCAGATTTATGTCTTTATTTGTATTCGTAGGTTTATTTAATAAGTCGATAAAATCCCCAAAAATATGATGTTCAACTATTTTGTAAGAGAGGTTTTGTTTCTGAAACCATTCACAGATCTATTTTTCGGTGGACCTGGTACTGTCTCAAGTTTATTTCCTCGAAGATTTAAAACATACATCATTCTTTTGAATGACAGTTTTGAACATTTTTAGGAGTGCGATAAAGAAGCTACACTGTTCATGTCCCAAATACTCTTTATATAGGGTTAGAAGTAAAGAGGCAGGTTATTTTCTAGGTTCCGTACATTTTTAATAGTAAAACTGTTAAAAGAAGGAAAACTAATTCAATCAGAAAATACGGGAACGAAATTCGTGCAAAAAAATCCTATTAAAATTGAAATCAAAATCTATTAATAAGGTCACCCTGTCTTTGTTCACGTTTTTATAATGGAACTCAATTCACAATAATTGATTTTGAGAGGCAGGGGATATCCAGCTTGTTAATAGGGCTTGATGGAAATAAGTGAGAAAAAAATTAAATCTTTTCAATTCTATCTACCTTTAATCCTTAAATTATCCTTTGTCAATTGTTCACTATTACCTTTTCACTTTTAATTGGCAACCCATTATTTCTATTCATAGAATTCCCTTATGATCGCAGCATATTAAACTAGCAATCTGGCATCACGTTTCTTTTTTCTCACCAAACAAAATATGAATGAGCATTTTAGCAAAATACAAACGAAAAAACATGATTATTTTGGCACAAACATAATGATCAGCGGCAGCGGCACCAACAAGAAAATGAGTACATCGAGAAGGTTCTTGTGGTATGCCGTCTGGTTCTCTTTTTTTTGTTTTTCTTTAAGAAAACAATTGTTCTTTTTTTTCTTAACAACAAATTTGTTTTTGGCCAAATTTGCAAATAAATTGTTGTTAACAAATTATAAAAGAATTTGTTCTTTATTTTGTATTCTCCCCCAGCCCGAAATAGCAAGCGATTGTGTTTTTTTACACACTGAACCAGAAATCAACCACCACCACCAGGCATACCGACCGACCATAACGAAAATCCTTTTCTCTAGCAGGAAGTATGCAAGAAGCAGCAGTAAAAAAGTGGGTGGTAAGGTGGGCTTGCTGATGGAATTATGTATTTCTTGAAAATATTGAAAGATAATGTCTTTTTTATTTAACAAATAATTTCACAATTTTTAATAATTAATTTTCCAAGCGACTCCTTTAACCACATACTGGAAATAAATTATTTTTCGCCAGGAGTAACACAACTCACCCACCTCCTCTTTTTAAACTTTTACAAAGCGGAAAATGCAATAAAGCACTTACAACACAATATTTTGTGTTAAAATATATACTTATTTTAATATATTGTTTTAAATCCTTTTCAAAAAAAACCACACGTTTTTATTTTCAGTTAACAATTTGCCAAAAGAAAGCTCAATGAAAACTCCATTTGTATATGCAACGACGAGCACAGCAAATAAAACTCTTGTCAACTCCACAATTAATTTGTTACACTTTCATCATTGCTTCAATTACTTTGTTTTAAAGCTATTCTTTTTTGTATTGTTTCTTTTAATTTGTTGCAACCTTTTTTCTTTATTTGTTTCTTTGGCGCTTAATAATTATTACCGTATAGACGACGTTTCTTTTAGTTTTTTTGAATTTTTGCGTTCCGTGTTGCTTGTTCGGTGTTTTTAATGGGAATATTTTGGTCTTGTAGGCTCAATACAGTGCGGCGCGGCAGTGCGGACAGTGCGGTGATTGGTTGTTGCCTGGCGACTTCTATCAGGCGACTTCTATCAGACGACTTCTATCAATCAATGATGCCACATGGCTGTGCAAACTTGTCAATCACAATAATGTGCAATTGTGAATTGCAATATGCCAAGTAAAACAGGCATATTACGAAATTAAATGTTTAGATTGCACATTAATTACTTAAAATAAATTAATGTTAAGGCTAAAATAGAATAATGTTAAAACATTGCTAGAATATTAATACAATTTACAATTGTGATTTTTATGCTGACGTTTCGATTTATGAAGTACACTCAATTTAAATTGTCAATTCCACAGCGTATAAGGATTTACATGACGTAGGGAATTTATATTTGATATCGGTTGAATTTTTTAGTCTTTAGAGCATTATTTATTTCCGATAAATTAAATAACAAATTATAAAACACTAATTATTGGCTTTGGAGGCTTTAGTGTTAAATAAAATAAGTAAAGAAATAAAAATAAGTAAATAAAAAAATATGATGAAAATGAAAAAAACCCATATCATTTGACATATTTTTATCATTTTACTAAAAACACCAAAAATGAATTAATATCGACTTGGGAATTTAATTGTCTTGCTTATTCATCACCTAACTTATAAATTTCTTCAATACGGACGTTGTAATACACATTTTTCATCCTGAATTAAAAAGAAAAATTACTAGTTTTCTAGTAGTGCATTTACATTGTAAAGGGTATAGTTAATCCAGTGGGTTTTAATTGCCCATTCCATTGCATATATGTAGAATAAATAATCCTACTTTATGATTATTTATTCTACATATATGCAACCAACCCTGCAAAAACTTCTAACTAAGTTGAGGAGAATAAAAAAGTGAAACCCTACAAATCGTATCGTATATGTCGTATGTTCTTATAAATAATGCATGCAACAGGTTAATTTTTTATATATTAGTTCAATGTAAACATGGTCTTACAATGGCTTCACATTGTTTATTTTGGATAACAAATCACATAGTGTGAACATACCTATAGAAACTTCTAGAATCTATGGTGAATGCTAAATAAATAAAATGAAATAGATTTCTTTATGGCATTTAAAACAAAATGTACTAATTAAATTAATTTAAAATGGTATAATTTAATTTAACTCATTTTAAATTTATATTAATCATCTGAATAAAATAAATAGATAATAACATTGAAAGTAATCACATTCATACCAATCGACAATGTTTTGATTACCATACACTCAGATACTGGTTATTTGCTCATCACTATATCCCTGATTAATCGGCTTCATCAATTTGTGAAAAAATAGCTTGGAAAAAAGAATTGAAAGAATTGTGTAGAAGGGAAAACTCAAACAGTGTGTGATCAAGAAAAAACCTAATAAATTTACCAAAATATTTTAGAGCAGACAAGAGAATATCACAAAACCACCTATTTAACTATTAGAGAACACTATTCATATTTTTGTATTAGATAATTTGCTAAATAAATATAATATTTAACATTTAGATAAATAGGCGACGTAACGTACGCAGAGCAAAACGTAAGAAAGCAAAAAAGAATGGTATCGAAAAAGAATTTTCCTCAAAATGGCAGAATCAATGCCGCACAACAACAACGCCAGATGCCATATAAGAAGCCACCAATGAAACCACCGATGAACAGCAATTTCAACAATAATCCAATGTTCAACGTCAGTCAGATTCCGGACAATCCGGGTTATTTAGATTTTGATTTCAATATACCCGCACCACCGAACAATGGCAATAATGCCGCCTTCAACAAGAATAACAATATCAACAACAACAGTGCAGGAGCAGCCGCAGCAGATGCTAAAAAGAAAAACAACAAAACTAAGCCGAAGAATGGAAAACCTCAGCCAAATGTTGGCTGGAAAAATCAGCAGGTCGGGGGAATGACAAGCAATCCTCGTTTCAATGGTCCGCGCGCTAACTTTGGTATGGCGACACGTGCCCGTGGCAATCGTATGATGCCACCCATGGGTGGTGGTCCTCGTGGTATGGGTCCCATGGGATTCCAGCCGCCAATGGGTGGTTTCCAACCACCAATGATGCCACCACCCATGCCAATGCGTCCACCAATGCCGCCTATGGGTATGGGTGTACAGCCACCACCACCACCATTTATGCGTCGCAATGGACCGATGCCACCAATTCCGCCCATGATTCCACCACGCATGATACCACCGGCACCCTTCATTGCTGGTGGTAAGATTAAGAAAAACAAACTGAGCCCGAAAAAGATTACCAAGGGCAAAGGCAGTACGGTGAAGACCCTAAAGAATTTGATCAATCAGTATCCCATCGATAAGCCCTGGGTGACCAGTGAAATTCGAGAGGAACACGATAAGAAGGTCGATATCGAAAATCGTTTGAAGGGCAACAAAGACGATGAATTGTTTGCACAATTCAAAGTTCAGCGTGACAAGTTTGTGGCCATGTATGAGGCTGCGCGGGAGGAATATTTGAAAAAGGAGGCTGCTGCGGTAAAGGCTAAGGTAAATATAAATATATATGATAATACTTGAGGCAAGACATTGTGGTAGTAGAAGTGTTCATGCTTGTAAAGAAATTTGGTAGCTTACAATCAGCCAATAGTGCGGCATTGCTATGTGATGATGGCAAAAAAAGATGGAATGTAATATTTAATTCCGCTTGGATAGATATACATGAGAAGAGTATGCTATTCATCAGCCCATGTGAGAATTGTGGCTTAGTTTTATTTTGTAGATTATTTCAGATAAATAAATGTAATCACATGAAATTATTTGGTATGAAAGAAAAACAAAAAACAGAATTATTGAAGGCCATTGAAAGGTATATTCTTTCACATTAAATTGTTTTGAATCATATCACAATTACATCTTTAAATGTATTACTGGTATGCTTGATATATATTTTTTTAGAATATTTATATAACAACCAAAATATCTACTTTAATAAAAGTTTATTTTTTAAATTTCTTTTTTTTTCAAATTAAACTTTTTACAGGATGAAAAAGACAAACAAACAAATACAACCAAAACGGACGATAAAAAAGAGGCAAACACAAATGAAAATAAAAGTAATTAACTTTTTAGAAATGGCATATATTCACATATATATTTAAATATCGTTGCAAGAGCTGACAAATTAAGAGAGAGCTTCACAATATGAAAATCATCCAGTACACATAATCTTGAAAATAAAAAAGTTCTGAAACTTTTGAAAAACAGAAACAGAAAACAAAACAGAAAAAGTTAATATTTTTAATGATTTTCCAAAGCTTAAAACGTAAAACAAAAATAACTACAACAACAAATTTAAATAATTATATTTATCTGTGTGTCTACTTAAAAAAAAGATGTAATTACAAATGTGTAATGCAAATAACTATTTAAAATCAGAACTTTATCTAATTTGCATTAACCGAAAGAAATAAACAATTTTAACTTATTAGTAAAAAAGAAAGTTCTGTTTTTAAAGCAGCTGGGCAAACACTTTGCTTGCCAGACTGCATAAGAAAATAATATCATTAATAAATAACAAAACAGAAACAGAAATGAAAACAAATTAAATACCTCTAAATTTAAGACCATTCTGCTGCATAATAATTATACAAAATCTTAAAATTGTAATTGATTGGTAACTAAATTAAAAAATTAAATAAAATTTTGCTGTCTTTTAAAACGGCCAGGGCGACCAATTTTATTAAGAATACATTATACCAAATCTTGTTGTAATCTGTTTTGTGTGATATTTCTATTTTTGGTTGAAAAAAGGCGCAGAAGCTTTAAAGCTGGAGATATCCCAAAACAGTTTTCAATATAATTTTTAGTTAAATTTTAGTCGACCCTGTATTATATTTTGTTGTCAACAACTTTAAGAAACCCCCACCAAATAACAAGGCACATCATGGTATTTCTTGGAAGTTTAGTGTTCCTAATGGGGTTCAATTTGTTTGTAACATTTTTCTTGACAAAATAACAAAAGCTCTTTTTCATTTGTATTGTTTGTCTTAATTTTCCACAAAAGAAAAATTGTTAAAAAATAAGTTAAAATAATCGAATACATGCACGATTGTAACATTTCTCATTGCCTTGACGGAAATGTATACAACAAATACAATATTTATTTTTCGATATTTTAACTTGTTTTTTTGTACAATATCTAACCACCTATATATTTTAGTGTGTAAGTGTAAAAGATAAAAAAATAAAGTTAAGTTTAACCAAAAAAAAGTTTGTATTCTCTTGGCAAAGTCTCTGAGGTATGTATTCGATTGTTTAATTAGCACATCTCATTACAAATATAAGAAAGGGGTTTTAAAAACAAAAGTACATTTATTTCTTCTTTGTGACTTGTCTGTTTTCAGTCTCAATCGTGGAAGTTCCAAATTATATACATCGACTTTTTTCTTCCAATTTCTATCTATCACCATTAAATAAATCCCATTTCCCTTTATGGATCAGTATCTTAAATAGTACCCTGTCCTTAAAAAATGAATATAATTTTTTACCAATATTTCAACGGAAAATACCTCCGTGTCCACACTTCAAAAAAGCGCTTTCTCCACTTCTTCCTAAAATACATTACCCTATGGGTTTTCTTTTACTTTCTATCCCCATCCCTATTAAATAAATCCCATTTCCCTTTAAGGTTCTTTATCTTAAATAGCACCCTGAATCCTTAATAACAAAACAATTTTTTATGATTTCATTTTTCGCACAAATTTTATTTAGCAAAAAAATTTTAAATCCTTATGTTGACAAATTTAAATAAATACATTTTTAATTATATTCTTTTTAAACAACATTTACTTGGGGCCTAACATATCTTGTGGTCTGACCCATTGAGCGAATTGTTCTTCGGTTAGATAACCCAATTTAATGGCCTCCTCCTTAAGGGTGGTACCATTTTTGTGGGCAGTCTTGGCAATCTTGGCGGCCTTATCATAACCAATGTGGGGATTCAGGGCGGTAACCAACATCAGGGATTCATTCATGATTTTGTTAATGCGATCGCGATTGGCTTGGATACCTTGTACGCAGTTGGCAGTGAAGGTGCGGCTTCCATCAGCTAAAAACAAAATTATTAAAAAAAATTGTAAAGAAATTAACAAAAAAATATTTCTCACTTACACAACAAACGAATGGAACGCAAAACATTGGAAACAACCAAAGGCTTGAAAACATTCAATTCGAAATGACCATTGGAACCACCCACAGTGACAGCAACTTGATTACCCATAACTTGAGCAGCAACCATGGTCATGGATTCACACTGGGTGGGGTTGACTTTGCCGGGCATAATAGAGCTACCAGGCTCATTTTCGGGCAACATCAATTCTCCCAAACCACATCGGGGACCCGAGCCTAAGAAACGAATATCGTTGGCGATTTTCATGAGACTTACGGCAATGGTATTCAAAACACCATGCACTTCCACCATGGCATCACGGGCAGCCAAAGCTTCGAATTTATTGGGGGCAGTGACAAAAGGCAATCCGGTCAATTGGGCGATTTTGGCAGCGCACTTTTCGGCAAAACCAATACGGGTATTGAGACCAGTACCGACAGCAGTACCACCCAAGGCCAATTCATAGACACGTGGCAAACAGGCATCAATACGGTCCAAGGCATAGGCCATTTGTTGGGCATATCCACTGAATTCTTGACCCAATGTCAGGGGAACAGCATCCATGGTGTGGGTACGGCCAATCTTAATGATGTCCTTGAACTCCTCAGACTTGGCCTTGAGGGCATCGTGCAAGATTTTAATGGCGGGTTTAAGGTTGTTGTTCAATTCCAAAGCAACCGAGATGTGGATGGCGGTGGGGAAGGTGTCATTGGAAGATTGGGATTTGTTGACATGGTCATTGGGATGGACTGGATCCTTGGAACCCAACTTGCCGCCCAACAGTTCAATAGCACGATTGCTAATGACCTATAGAATTACATAACAATCAGAAAAGACAAACAAAATCGCTTTTCAGCCTCTCACCTCGTTGACGTTCATGTTACTTTGGGTACCGGAACCGGTTTGCCAAATAACCAATGGGAAATGATCATCATAAAGCTTTCCTGAGATCACATCATCAGCAGCCTTTGAAATAGCTTCACTTATCTTGGGATCCAAACCGAATTCCTTGTTGACCTCGGCGGCGGCTTTCTTCAAGATACCCATGGCTTGAATGACAGGCTTAGGCATACGTTCCGTGGGTCCACCAATGGGGAAATTAATTTGGGAACGCATTGTTTGGGCGCCATAGTATTTATCACTTGGTACTTTCAGTTCACCGAAAGTATCGGTTTCAATGCGATAATCTTGAAGGGCCTAGAACGAAAATGTTTTTTTTTTTTTCATTTTAGTTATGTATTTTGCAAGGCAAGTAGATCTTAATCTTTGTTATAGTGACTAAGTATGATTATTGCTGCTGCTCACCATTCCTTTAGCAAGTGTAATGCAATACTAAACGTTCCGTTTTTTTATTGTTATATCACACACAGTGAAAAATGAGTGACTTTGGTTTCAAATTTCAAAGTCAACAAAAAATAAAATAAAATGGAAATTTAACTCAAGAGATAATTTTGTTTTATTTCATATCAGCACTTGTACTGCTATGAGGATTATCAGGGTATCATTTTATTGTATGTTGTTGTTGTTTCTATTTGCTACTCAAGAACCAAAATTACTACTGAAGCAGAAAAAAACTCGCATAATTTAGAATTTCATTATCAAACCGGTTAATTGATCTTTTTTGAAGTGCTAAATGGTGTGTTTTTGTAAACAGTTTAATGTGAGCCATCATCGATTGTTGTTTTTGTATAGGGTCTATTCATTTTGATTGAAATAATTTGAAATAGATCGAAGCGAAATTAATTATTTGATCTTAAACTATTTAATGGAATTTATTCCAATATTTTCGATTTTTATCACGCCAAAATTCATCACCATTTAATCACATTTTCAATTGAACAATGCCATAGAAATCGGAAATGAATTAAACAACAGTATTGTTTTGTATGTAAACAAAGTGAAAACAGGATGAGATCTAAAGGTGAGATCGAAATATAAAAACAATTACAAATTGTTAATTCGAGAATATACATAACGATTATAGAGGCTTTCGGATTAAAGCAAAACTTATGAATGGATGGTATACCTATCAAACACACAGGTGCTTGGCGGATGTGTCCCAACCTGTATACTTAACCGATTAATGTCAGCAAAAAGAGTATAATCCGAAATCAGGATTATATTTATTCCTCAACACTACGACAATCGTTTCTATTACCGGCATCTATAAGGTTTTGTGTGTGCATGTGTATAACTATGTTTATATTTAAAAAAATAATAAATATAATCAAAAACGATGCCCCCACAATCCCCACAATAACCACAAGTGGATGTGTATGTAGTACAAGTACCGGCTTTTTTTATTTAGCACCCAGAGACATTTGCAAAAATTGTTGTTATTGTAGCCGCCCGTCACTGATTATCATAACCACCAATAAGCCAGAAAAAGTGAAAACGATGGTAGTTTTTTCCACAGATTTTCTTCTGCACACATTCTCCAAGATACTCATTAGATAACTTTTAACTAAAGTAGAACTTATACAATTGATTGCAATAAAACATTTCATATTTTTTTCTGGATATAACGATATTACATAATTTAAAAAAAGAATAAAAAATCATATTGGAAATCATAAGGAAAATGCCAAATACACTCTTACCATAACGGATGTGTTGATCCAGCGTGTTTTGCCAAACTGTTGCACAGCCCGGACAGAAGAACGCTGCAATAGTTGGAACACCATTTTTATTTCGTTTTTTCTCTTTTATTTTTTGCAAAAAAAATAATCCTAAATCCCCCTCTACTATTCAGCCGATTCACACAAACAACTGCTGATGAGAGCTGTCAAACCATACGATGGCACTATCGATATTATTTAAGTGGGAAAATATATCGTTTGATAGTTTGTGCTATCGATAATATCGGTTGCCTTTCAGAAGGCTTGAATTATTTATCTTGAATCTTTTTTATTATTGAAAGCAAAAAAGGCGATACTACTACGGATTTGTATTTTATTTTTTATTTGTTGAAAAAAAAAAACTTCCTTTTTCAAGCGCTTTTGATGTTTAATTTGCTTTCCAAATTTCAAACATTAAGCGTGGTTTTATATTTGCCGGGATCGGGATCGGTGTTGAGAGTCTCTCTCTCTCTCAGTGGTAAATTGTGAATTGTGTTGGAAAACATTGCCACAGGTAGGAACAAAAAAGTACGAAAAGGTACCTAAAATTCTACTTCAAATGATAAAATCATAATTATCGAGAAATATTGGCCAATATTTATACCAGTTGTTTGCATAAATAATATATGTTATAATTTAAGCGTAAATGTATTCACGAATAATAAAAAATATAATATTTGTTTTGGTACGTTTATGTCAATTCGTACCTTTTGTGAACAAAAAGTACGCTTGTTACAAAATTAAAAATAGCGCAACTCTAATTACTCTCTCAAGAGAGAGAAACTCTCAACACCGATCCCGATCCCGACAAATATAAAACCACGCTAATGCATGCACCTACGCTATCGTGTAAACCTATGCTAACAAACGACATCGATAATTAACATAATTGACATCGATTGTCAGTTGATTTGTGTTGTTTTTTTTTTTTTTTTTTTGTACAACGTTTAGCATAGTGAGGTTTTCACTCTGTTTTGTTTTATTTTTATAAAACTACTAATAAATATTCCACAAAAATAGTAAAATAAATTCCAAATACCAATATGGAACGACCACAAAAAATGCCCAAAGTGGCCAAGGTAAGTTTTGCCAAAGCAACCAACACGAATACCCCCTTTTATCTGCCTTTATTTTAGGTCAAGAATAAGGCACCCGCCGAGGTGCAGATCACGGCCGAGCAATTGCTCCGGGAAGCCAAAGAACGTGATTTGGAAATTTTACCACCACCTCCCAAGCAGAAAATCTCTGATCCAGCAGAATTGGCCGATTACCAACAACGAAAACGTAAAGTTTTCGAAGATAATTTACGAAAGAATCGCATGGTCGTAAGCCATTGGATTAAATATGCCCAATGGGAGGAATCGCAAAAGGAAATTCAACGAGCCCGTTCCATTTGGGAGAGAGCTTTGGATAATGATCATCGCAATATTACCATTTGGCTGAAATATGCCGAAATGGAAATGAAAAATAAACAAGTAAATCATGCCAGGAATTTGTGGGATCGGGCGGTGACCATTATGCCACGAGTCAACCAATTCTGGTATAAATACACATATATGGAGGAGATGTTGGAAAATGTGGCCGGAGCCAGGCAGGTGTTTGAACGGTGGATGGAATGGCAGCCAGAGGAGCAGGCTTGGCAAACTTATGTGAATTTTGAATTGCGCTACAAAGAAATCGATCGCGCCCGGGCCATATATGAACGTTTTGTTTATGTTCACCCTGATGTTAAGAACTGGATAAAATTCGCTCGCTTTGAAGAGACTCATGGTTTTATACATGGCGCCCGTCGTGTATTTGAGAGGGCTGTTGAGTTCTTTGGCGATGATTACATAGATGAACGTTTGTTTATAGCATTTGCCAGATTCGAGGAAGGCCAAAAAGAACATGATAGAGCACGTGTCATTTATAAATATGCTTTGGATCATTTGCCGAAAGACAGAACCAAGGAATTGTATAAAGCCTATACGATACATGAAAAGAAATATGGTGATAGGGCTGGCATTGAGGATGTTATTGTGTCCAAACGGAAATTCCAATATGAACAGGAGGTTGCCTCAAATCCCCAAAACTATGATGCATGGTTTGATTATTTGAGGCTGATTGAGGGTATGTGTTTTTTCTTTTTGCTTCTAAATTATTATTCATTGTGATCTGATTGTTTTAGGTGAGGGAGATGCTGATGTCATACGGGAGACCTATGAACGTGCCATAGCAAATGTACCACCGGCTAATGAAAAAAACTATTGGCGCCGTTATATTTATTTGTGGATAAATTATGCCCTGTATGAGGAACTCGAAACCGAAGATGTGGAAAGAACCCGTCAAATCTACAAAACCTGCCTTGAATTAATACCCCACAAAAAGTTCACCTTTAGTAAAATTTGGTTAATGTATGCCCATTTCGAAATTAGATGCAAAAATTTACAAAAAGCCCGCAAAACCTTGGGAATGGCAATTGGCATGTGCCCAAGAGATAAACTTTTCCGTGGATATATTGAATTGGAAATTCAGTTGCGTGAATTTGACCGTTGCCGATTGTTATATGAAAAGTTTCTGGAGTTTGGTCCAGAAAATTGTGTCACCTGGATGAAATTCGCCGAATTGGAAAATCTTTTGGGTGACACCGATCGGGCAAGAGCAATTTATGAACTGGCCATACAACAGCCACGTCTAGATATGCCAGAATTATTGTGGAAGGCCTATATTGATTTTGAAGTTGCCCAAGGCGAGTTTGAATTAGCCCGTCAACTCTACGAACGTTTGCTGGAACGTACCCAACATGTCAAGGTGTGGATGTCATATGCTAAATTCGAATTAAGCTCACAGTTGGAGGGAGAAGAGGATCAAGAAATGAATGTTCGCTTGGCACGTAGAATTTATGAAAGAGCCAACGATATGCTGAGACAATTGCAAGATAAGGAATCTAGGGTTTTGTTATTGGAAGCTTGGCGTGATTTTGAACGGGAATCGGGCGATCAACATAGCCTGGAAAAGGTCATGGAGAAAATGCCAAGACGTGTCAAAAAACGTCAAAAAATTATTTCCGAGGCGGGTGTGGAAGAAGGTTGGGAGGAGGTATTCGATTATATATTTCCCGAGGATGAAATGGCCAGGCCGAATCTTAAATTGTTGGCAGCTGCCAAAATGTGGAAAAAACAAAAGGAAACAGTTCCGGAAACTGACAGCAGTAAGGCATCTGAAAATAACGAAAATTCCCAATCAGATAGCCAAGAAAAGGAACAACAAAGTAATGAAGATGAGACAGCGGAAGATCAATCAAATAACCAACCAACGGGAAATGATAAAAGTCCCAATGCTGTATAAATTTAAATTGTCCCAAAATCATTGTTTATATTTAAGTTTTATAATAAAGTTTATTATTAATTTCGAATACAGTTCCAATTCGTATTTATTTTATTTCATGATCTACGAAATGTTTACATGACATGACCAACTAAATACCTAAATATAGATAATAGTGTAAGTAGATATATATACACACTTTCCTTGATATATGTATAGTAATGTTAAAAGCTATGTTATATTTCTTTATATATTTTATATTAATTTCAACACAATGTGGTATTTGGATAATAGATTTGAATTCAATTCAAAATTGTCCAACACTTTTTTTTTAAATTATTATGTCCTACACTTGATATTAACTTCTTGCACTTTAAAAACAATATTCAACATTATGGTAAAAAATACATCGTGATTAAACTATAAGGCAAAAGAAAAGGAAAAGAGACTATAAAGTACGTTAAAAAAAACAATGTATTATGGGCTTGTATTGGATCCATTGGTAGGATTTTTACAAACTTTACTGTGACCATCCTTCCAATGTCGAGATTGACATACTTCGGAACAGTAGGCGGCCCGGAAACAACACAAATAGATGGCCTCTTCTAGGCACCAATAACACTATAAACAGAAACATGGATTATATCATGCCAGATATATACCGTAAGAGAGATACCTACCCACTGCTTGCGCTTCAATATTTTACGTTCAAGTTCCTGCTTTTTAATTGTTTCCTTAAGTTTTTGTTTTTGGGCTTCGAGTTTTTCATTTTTCTGTTTATATTCATTAATTATTTTGCGTGCCTCTTCCATTTCTTTAAGCATTGTGTCCAGCTAAAAGAAATAAACGTTTTTTAATAAAAAAAACTTATAGAATTGAATTCAGATTTTCTCCATCCTACCACTTCTTCTGGATCATTTGTTGTATCCTTTTTCTTTGATTTTCTAGTCGACCTTTTCTCTTTACTGCCGCTGCCATTTTTGTTAGCCTGATTAAATGGAGGATAATTATGGACCTTCAGACGTTTCACAGAAACGGTCAATTCTGGACATACTATACTTGATTGACTATTACTCATTGGCCGTGACGAACTGACCGTTGACCCAGTATATTGTGATGTATTAATGGGAGCAAAATCATCCTCAACACTGCTGCTAACTATGGCAGATTTCCTCCGTTTTCCAGGACGTTTTTCTTGAAAAATAGCTGCAGTTGGATTACTACCGATTACTGTTCGTATAACCTTTTCTGTTTCCAGGGGATTTGCATGAAAACTAAACAAACTCGGGGGGTATGTTGACAGCAATTGATGATATCTCAATTCTTCCATGGCTTTTTTAATTGCCGGACTGTTACCCAGTTTGAGAGATTTTACATCCGAATCAATGGGTTTAATGTGACGTACATCTATCAATGCCCTAGAATGGGAACCGCCAAAGAAACGTACATCGAATTTATTGTTCGGTAAGACGCGTATAACTTTCGCCGGCCAATAGGGGAATCCACTGTGTTTGGCATACACCAATTCATGGCGCTGGACACACGGTTTGGCAAACCATATAACCGAATCTTTTTCATGTGAATAACGGAAACAGTCGGGACAGCGTCTTATCTCAGAGAGATCATGGGCCACATCTCTCAGCAGCCATTTGGTCGATTCAAATTCTGTACTATAAGCTGAAATTAAAAAGATAGATATTACTTAGGGATCACTTAAAAATATCGTTTTACATACGCCCAAAAAATACACCCATATTATGTTGAATATCCATTAGATCCACCAGAAATTCCGTAAGAAAATTATATTCATTTCGCTGCATTTTGATGTCGATATCTGTTAAACGCTTGATCGGCGAATACAACAGCAGGTGATTAACCAGATTTATTTCTTTGACATTTAAACGTTTCGATGTCAGATATTCCCGCACATCATGAGTCAACCATTCTCTGTTATAGGTAAATGTGAAATTGATTAAATGGCTCAATTCATCGGGTTGCAGATTTGGTGGATTGTTGAGATGAGCCCGCTTTAATAGCCTACAACAAGTACACAATTCCATATCTTGATGATCCTCTTCATCGTTGGGTGAAATCTCACTTTTATACGAGACATTTGAGGCTGTTGTATTGGGACGTCGTCGTCGATTCGGTGGACGAATTTCACCAATACACACCACATCCACTTTGCTTTTACTTTCCAAATCATCCAACAAAGGTTTGGGTTCCGGTTGACTAATATAAGTTACGTCGAGTATTTCAATGTCCTGTTTTGGCGCCTGATCCGTAGTGATGCGCTGTGAAGAATTGGGCCTCACATCCGGTTCCGAGCCCATTGCTGTAGAACAGCGTGCTAGTGTGTCTGCATCCGATTCTGTATCGGAACTAAAGGCGGGTAGTCGATTTTTCTGTTTCTTCGAAGAGGGTACAGTATAGTTGGGTCGTTCGGGATTCTTACGGTAACACAGACGATGGAAAGAACGCCAGCATTGTGTACAATTTTCCAGTATACCAGGCAGATGACACTCAAAACAATACCAATCGTGTGAAGAGTCCACCCGAACTTCTTGAGAATTGGGTAGACGTACACGTTTTATGTCCGCTGCTGTTGATCGCGGACGGGGAGATGCAGCCGCAGTTGTCATTGGCATGAGAATGCCATCACTTAAGGCATTGAGTATTGTTTCCTTGGCATTGGCTGAAAGCAATAAAAACAACTTCAGCATTGAAGCGGTTATAGAAAGTTAATTTTTAACATACATGGTGTATATCCTCCACTGATTAATGCATCAGTTAGCTGCTCTATTGTACAGGAATCTTCACGACCATCATCCGTTGTTGGGGAGCAGCCAGGAAATCGTAATTGTAGTAAAAAATAACGAAGACACTCTGGGTGGGCTTTTCGCGACATTTCTGTCATTTTTCAAAGTTAAACATGCACAATGATGTAGAAAACTTTCTATTCTTTGCCTAATGAACTCCTGGACGCTTTATATCTGTTTCGCGATTGTTGTTTTGCCACTGAAATCCATTGATTTTCTACAGTAGGGTTGTGATAAACGTATTTGAATTCGATAAATAAAAAATCGCTTTATATCGATAGCAATTAAAACAACGGAGTTCTTATGGTGCAACTACGGCGTTGTCAACATGCATATAACAACGCCTTCACACATTAACATTTCAGTATGGCTCGGTTCTCTGACTGCGGCTGCTGTGAGTGTGTGTATGTGTAAACAATGCGCGGTTCTCATTTAGTCGCCATCCCACCTCATTCGTAAACTTTCGGTTATGCCACTTTGAGTCCATCTTTATCGGTCATTTTGTTTTCTCCTCCCATTCGTTAGCTGATGGAACGTTTTTCAAATTTTCTTCTGTCGGTAAGCATGTGTGTTATGAAGCGGGAAAATGGAATTTGCCAATCAACAAAAAACAATTAAAAAATTACAAGATCATTGTCAAGACTTAGAGGCCGATATTGAACATGTTTTGTCCGAACGGAGGGCTTATTTGGAGAAGCAAAAAAAGCTGCTAGAGCGCCTTAATAATGTCCAAGGCAATATTGAAAAGGCAATGACGGAAGAACATGAATTGTCGAATAAAGTGGATTCAGGTGGAACGATGCTTGGACGCTTATTCAAATTACAATAAAAATGTTAATATACAATTTATTTTTGCAGTTAAAAAGGCCAGCACCGAAAGCGAAGAGGATTTCCTGCAAAAAGTTTGTCTTATACTGGGCTTTCAGATATCAAAACGAGTAGTAGAATCGAAAACAATAAGCAGAAAGGTTTGTAAGGTTTGTTAACCAAACAATTGTGGAAATAATTAAAAATTATGTTCTTCCTTAATAGCTCCTCTATGATAAGGATTGCAGTGTTACGCTAAATGAAATAAATCAACTTTATGATCTTGTCGAAACCTTTCCACCACATCCAGAATTTGTGGCCATACGTAAATTCTTGAAAAATTCTCAAGATTTGGGAGTGTTGTTAAGAACGATGAAAGACTTTTTTGATAACAATCGCACTATTAATCGTATTAAATAAATCATAGATTTTTGTATATAAGATTTGTGTTTATTTTTCATGATATATATGATATGTGAATGCGCAATGTATAAATTAACAGTGGAACCCCGCTATATTAGCGGAAGTCTTACAACTATTTACACCTACGCAACAGTGTGTACTTGAAAAATATTTTAGTCCTGTTTCCAATACAAAAACATCACATTCGACACATAAGCACTTATCTGGGAAACTCCTGGGACCACTCCTTTTCATTTTGGTCGGAGGGGCAGACCAATTTGATATGTTCCCGCAGTACAAGAATCCACTATGTTTTACTTCGATAACGAATTTTTCTTTCTGATATCGAAGGAAATAGTAAAATCTTGTAGATTCTTGCAAGACGGGAACACTGACGTTAATACAGCCAAACTAGTAGATTCTTGCAGTACGGGAACAGACCAATAATAAATAATATACATTTTTTTTAAATATTAATTATTTCTTAGAAATAAATCTCTTTGTTGGTGTAGATTGCCACAGAGCTCTTGATTTCTGATCGATAACAAAATATCGATGTTACTTTGACATATCGATTTTGCTTACTTCATGCCAAAACTCGACTTATATATCCCTATACCATTCATTGGCAAACGACAGTTTGCGAGGAAGCGTCAAGCGTCCGGTTCCGAAGAAAATTTTTAGTGTAAATAAATTAAATTAGAGACGGCTAAAAGCAACTTAAAGAAAATGCGTGAAACTCATTTGTATTCGAACAGCTGCTGAAGGAACAAGTAGAAAATTTGTTTTAGTAACCTTTATTTCTCTGTTGTTACAAATTGAAAAAAAAGAAGCAAACCAAAATATTTTTTATCGCAAATTGCTCAATTGTTTGGAAGTGTGAAAAATAAATTTCATTTTTCCGAAATATACTAGAATATGTGAATATATTTTTGTTGGTTGGAATATCCATCTATCCATGTGATATAGGTGAATGAAATAAGTGCGAAATTTATCAGTAATCAAATTAATGCATGCATGTTGCTAAAGGAAGCAGAGGGTAAAGAAGTGCAAAGTCGTTGCGGTCGGAGAAACCTCAACGTTTTTCGACATTGGCATTGTGGCTAATGAGAAGAAAAAAATTAGTTGTGTCTAACCAGAAGTGTTGACCATAGAGTATTGGCCCAACAATAAAAAAAAGTAAATTGATAAGTCAAGAGCCCTGTGCCATTCCTAGTGTATTGTTGTAACCAAAGAAGTTCCAGTTCCGGTTCCGTCAAAAATGGAAAGAAAGTTACGAAATTCGTTTAACCTCAAAGGTGCTACAACTACCTCAATATCTAGCCCACAGACTCCCCAACAACAACAACATCTTCATCATCATGGTACAAGGCAACGAACTGCCGCCACAACATTGCAACAGCCGGTCTATAAAAGCCCAGTGACTACAACAACAACACCACATATTGTCTCAGAACCAGTGCAAAAAAATCTCAATAACAACAACAACAATGAAGTTTCTACAGCTATGACACCAGCTGCTTTAGATGAACAGCAACAGCAGCAGCTGGCAGTGACGACAATCCCTGCCAAACCCTTAAGTCGTAATAAAAACGAAGGTACGTTACGGGCTATTAACCCCCTGGTCCTTACTTAAAGAAAAATGCCTTTTGTTTTTTTTCCTTCATTGTTTCTTTTTTAATTTTTTTTTGAAAGATGACGTTTCTTTTTTTGTGGCTTGCAAAAACAAATTTGTCCTTTATTTGACTTTTTGCTAAAAATTTTTGAAATGAAATCGAATTTTTTTGTTAGCACCTTTTTGTTAATTAAAATGATTGGAGGGGTCAGGGAAGAAAGAGGGGGTGTGAGCTTGCTGGTCAATGGAAACAAGGTGTTGATGTAAAATAGTTAGTTTGGTGGCTGTATGTATGTGTATGTTTAGCTGTTTTAACATTTAATTTCGCAGTAATTTTTTACAGCCTAGGTAATGAGACTAATATGGAGGAACGATGTAAAAAAATCAGGGTATTATGCAGGGAAATGTTTAATGGCAAACTTTGAGGGCCAATTGTCTATTGATTATAGCTGAAAGATCTTGATGGGAACCCCGTTTTGGAAACTAGGAATGATTTGGAAGATGGAAAAAATAATTCGCTAATACATACCTCAAGGGAAAGGCAATATTAAAGTAGAAGTAGGAATAAGATAGATATGAACAACTTCTCGAGGTATAAGAGGATTAGGAGGAGTACAAAATCTAAAGTTTATCCCCTTTGTCTATTGAAACTCCCTCAAGGGGCACTTTTTGATTTGTAACGTATTGATTCTATAGAAAAATAATTATTTGTTTTGTGGTAACCTCCTCAAGGGAGATCTACATACCATGAAAATAGGAGTATAGCCCAGTTTTCTTGGCACAAATATAAAATTGTAGGACCTTCATAGCAGATATTCCATTCGAAACTCCGAATATGTCACTGTTTTAATGAAGCATGTTGCATACACGATGCTTATAGGCATGTTGCATAAAAGCTTTGTATAGATCCGATTTGTTTTTTTAATATATTATTAATTTATAATAAAGATTTTTGGAAGACATCTTTTGGTTCTACCATGATGGTCAAATATAATGTTCTAATATTACCCCAATTAAAACAATTTGCCATTAAATACTCGAAATATATTTTTTAATTTATTAAAAACTTAAATACCCCTCCTTCTCTTTTGGCAAAAAAATAATCAAAGTCATTTACCTACCCCCCTTCCATGGTTCTGCTTATCGCAAAATGTTTTCATTTTATAAATACAGTATCTAATAATAAATTATTTATGTAAATACCTATGTACATTATTTCACTGCCATCAACTACCTAACTAGCCAAGTTATATTGATAAACAAAAATTGTATTTGTTGCTTAAATAAACAGATGATATGTATGTAGCTTAAAAAGAATTCACATGATTTTGGTATTCAATTTTGTTGTGTGTCGTTGAAAAGCATGAGATTTTTATTAATTAAATTGTAAAGATTTTAAGAAAATATATAAGAATAAGAATTCTGAGGCTTGTGGGAAAGGCTTCTAGTAAATATTGTGCAATATTTAATGTAATAGATTAGGGAACAATATCGTTGATCGATTGCCGAAGAAAGTCGATTTGACAATGAAACCTTTTCTTTTCGATTACGAGAATATTGTTGATTAATCTGCCTATAATGATATTTCTCTTCTTATGATTAATGATACATGCTCATAGCCGGAATTAGAGTATTCCGAATCTTTAACATTTGAAGTTATAATAGCACTGAAATTCAGCTTCCATCTTTGCATGACTTCTTTGAAAAAAATATGTATAGTGTTCATAATGATCTATTCAACCCTTCCCTTTTTTTCGCAAATTCTATTTTGTGGCTTAGCCATTTGGCCAATAAATATCACTATATGCTTAAAACTACAAACATGTACATCGCAATGTACAATGTACATGTACATAAAAATCGTCTTAAAGCTATACAATTCAATCGTAATATAAGGATTTGAAATAACTGACTACAATGCAAAAATAAAAAAATATATCAATTTTTTTATCTTAAAAAATATCCCCTTATGTTTTCTTGTGCAAATTAATATTTATATATTTTAATGTCTTTGTATTTTTCCTTGTTTTCCATTTCAGAAGCCATTAATGATTTGCGTACACGCATTCCTGAAATTGAAAATATTTTCGATATACACAGTCGCATTGGTAATGGCACATTCAGTACCGTACTTTTGGGTACACTGAAAAAAGAAGCAAATCTACCGGAAAATCAACGACGAAAATTTGCCATCAAACATCATATACCAACTAGTCATCCGGATCGTATTATGAAAGAGCTGCAGTGTATGGCGAAAATTGGGTAAGTTTCAAAAACAACACACATATATAGAAAAACTAATTCAAAAGGAGTTCTTTAGGATTGCCTAAAAAATAGAACAGTTCAAAAACTGCCTAAAAACGAGAATAGAAGGAAAAGGACTTAAGCCAGCAATTTCTGTCTATAGAATTCAATAGCGAAACTTTCCAAAAGGAATAGAGAGGGAAAAATAGAAGAAAAACAAAGGTGTTCTAAAACATTAAACTCTTGAGGAAGGAATTAATTCAAATTCTCTATAGATAATATCGCTAGGATCCTCATACATATAGAACAAGTAAAAGAAGACGTTAAGGGGGATCGACCGGAATTTTTACAACATACACCATGAGGAATCAAAATAAAAAAAAATCGGATGATACCACATATATTTCTATAAATAGGATTTCAATAGGAAGTATTTCTCTAGGATTGCCTAATAGAATAAAACATTTTAAAATTGTCTCTCTGAAACGTTAATGTTTGACCCTCCTCAATTCCTTAGTCGATGGTCGATAGAAAACTTGATTTGAGATATTCTAAAGAAACCTAGATGTATAAGCAAATTGAGTCATTATTTCAGGTGGCTGATTAAGCATAGAAGTATTTATTAGCTCCACAATGTCAAGTACTTAGATCCGAAAAACAAATAATTACGAAATCCTATACCCCTTGGTTTCAGATAAAGACTTCCTCTCTGTAAATTATTTCATGTGTATCAAAGAGAGACCACCCAATTGTATTTTATTTGGAGTATAGCTAAATACTACCACAATATTCCGGTGGATATACATATATCCCCCAAAACACACGCACTCTATATATGTACATATCTATGATTTGTTTTTGTTTTGACTTTTTGGTGGATAATGGTCTCATTTATGTTTTACTTGAAATATCTAATTTTAGAGACGACTACCCTCAAAAATAATTGGCATTCTATGTGCATATATGTATACATCTATTTTGTATTTCGTTCATTTGCGTGACACAAGCAAGCAAGCTCGGCCGCACCACAGCAGGCGTTTTATTGTGTGGCGTCATTTGAATGTGGAATGTTTGTAGATACATATGTATCATCCACTCACATATGCACCATTTGATTTGCCTTTTACGTATTCTGTTTCGGATTTAATGTTGCCGGTTTAATGTTTTGCCGGTAAAAACTCTATAACACATGCAATTTTATATCTACCTAATTGTTGTTGGCTTGGCTGGCCGGCTGGTCATTCCCATCAAACTCCTTTTGTTTGCTTCTCTTTTACTACCTAATTTAAACAACAACAATAAGTAATAACCTTGATTTCAAGGTAATATTTGCATTACTTAGTTTGGGTAATTTGGAAAATGTAGGAGGATGTGGAATACATTTCCAAATTCATCGTTGTTTATGTCATCCTTTTCTTTGAGTAGCAATCGTAATGTATTGTATATTTTCCAAGAAATCAATAAGATGTCTATAACGTAAGTACACAGAGCGTGGGTTTCCTTTCCTTTAGATTTATTTTTAGTTGTAAATATTGCCACCACCACCGTCAACCAAATCGTTTCAGTTCATGTTGTAGATACAGGCGGCGGCAATTCACTCTCTCTGTGTTGTACGTCATGCAAAAAACGGCAATCGGCTGCTGTTGCTGTCGTTTTACCTACGTCATAGCACATTTGGACTTTTTGCGTCACAACAAAGAAAATTATCGTATTTTAGTTGTTATACACTGTGAGCGAGTGACTGGTTGGCTGACGAGTTGCTTGGTAATATAATGATTCCTAGCCCTGTTTCTATTGGTATGATGTGTCTGTATGTCTGTCGTATATGTATGTGCAATAGCCAAATAGGGAATACCTGACTATAAAAATAAGATAATTGTTATTACAGACTCGCGTGAATTTTGTTGTTGACATTGCAATAGTAAATTGTTATCATTAGAGAAATACGTATTCTATATATAAATATTTACGTATTTTTTTATTTAATTGAAAGTCTTGAATGCTTTTTAAATGGGGTATATTTAATTTGTTAGTTGTCAACGAGAGCCAGACACAGAGTACAGAGGGGGAGGTCACAAAGAAAACTATTTTTTGTGGTTAAACTAAATTGATTAGAACAAGTAAAAGAACACGTTTAGGGCGGAAGAGGAACAATAATAAAAAATCGGATGATACAACAAAAATTTCTATAAATAGGATTTCAATAAGCGTAATAGGTCCTCAAGGGCCACAAACATAAATAATGGGTGTTGGTGGAGTTCAATTTCCATTTTATTGGGAACTTTCATCATCGATCTATCGAGGGCCTCAATATACCCGAATCATTTGTATTTTGAAACAATTTCCGATATTTTGAAGGATATTGCACTGTAAAGTTGATTCCGTGGTAACCTTTTGGCCAGGTATCTCTGCCATTTAGTTTTGAAATTTCAAGTTTTAAAATTTCCCATCATTTTTATTTTAAATTCCCATCATCTAAATTTCTATCGCTGATATCCCAATATTCGCCATTTGAATAAAATGACAGCTGTTATTTACTTTATTACAATAAACAAAAAAATTGTTTAACTTGAATGCCTTTACCCCGTGTTAACCATTCCCTCTCCTAATACTTGTAGTATCCAGTATTATATTGCATATTTATCTTAGGTAATAAATTTTATATGCAATTAGAAGCAAATATATTTGTTTTTATTTTTTTATTAAAGGCTCCACGTGTTGCTGACAAAAGTCAATGTCTTTTAATTAGCAAAAAAGGATGTGGGGGAAGAGGTTATGAGGTGGTGCAGTATTTGTCTTTAGACAAACTTAAAATTTGTTTTTAAATATATAATAATAAAAAGTGAATACTCACCTAAATACACACATAGGAATGCTCATAAATATTTCTGTGTGAAAGTTTTTTGTTTGTTTGTTGCTGTGACGCATCTCACTCTTTGTGATCCACGATATAAGAACATGACTATTAAAAAATTAAAAAAGCGATACAATTGCAAAATACACAAACATATGTGGATATGTAGGTATTTATATTTCAAAAGACACGATTTATATTTTTGTTTTGTCTTGGTGTGCTGTGATGATAATTTAATTTAAACTAAAAGAAAATTATTTTATTTATTTTTATGCAAACAATCTAATAAATTCCAAATTTAATCCGTTTCTCTCCCCTCTCTTATCTTTCCAGTGGCACTGACAATGTCTGTGGCATCAACTGCTGCATCCGCTATAATGAATCTGTGGCATTTATAATGCCCTACCTATCCCATGATCGTTTCCACGATTTCTTTAGCCGCATGGATGTGGCCGAGGTCCAATACTATATGAAAAATCTGCTAATTGCCTTGCGTCACGTCCATCGTTTCAATGTCATACATCGTGATGTTAAGCCCAGTAATTTTCTATATAATCGCCGCAAACGACAATTCCTTTTGGTTGATTTTGGTCTGGCCCAACAGGTGGCGCCACCATTACAATCCGTCAACAATATACCACAATCTCCTGTCTTGCTGGGCAGCAAAGCCGCATCAATGTCTGCCCCAGGAACGGCTGCTGCTGCCTCGGAGGCTAAACGTATGCGTGAAAACGATGATAGCCACATTAAAAAATCAACAGATGGCAATACTGTGGCGGTGGCTGTGACTGGAGCCGGCGAGGTGGTCAGCGGCAATGCCAAGCGTCTACGATGCACCGGTCCCGCGGATTACCAGCAACTGGAATCTGTGGCGGCCAACAAGGCATCAGCCCTCTTAAATTCTGGTACATTAACAAAATCACCCTTTAAAATGCCCTTAAAACAAATTAATGTGATTCCTAACACTCTCGTAGGGTCGACAACAGCAACGACAACAAATAAAACAGCTTTAACCCATGCTGCTGCAGCTGCTGTAAGTGTTGTTGGGGCAACCAATGATTTAGTTATGGCGGGTATTAATGCGCGCAAATCCGGTGGGGGTAGTGTAACGATGAGTGGCCGTTTACAGCAAAAATTGCGTGCTCAGGGCGGTGCTGAAGCCAGCAGTAATCAACGCTCATCGTCAGTGGGGGGTGGTGCTGGTAACAAAAATCTTGTAACTCAGGGTTCAAATGGCACCACAAATGCCTCGGATACCAAATACAACACAAATCGTAATCTATCCAGTGCCAGTGGTCCAAAATGTTTCTGCTATGGCAATCCTCAAGTCTGTAATATCTGTCTGGTGAAAAAGGAGATTCATGCCTCGCGTGCTGGCACGCCTGGCTATAGACCACCAGAAGTTCTACTCAAATATCCTGATCAAACTACAGCGGTGGATGTATGGGCCTCTGGTGTTATTTTCCTATCGATACTTTCCTCCGTCTATCCTTTCTTCAAGGCCCCCAATGATTATGTGGCCCTGGCCGAAATGGTTACAATATTCGGTGATAAGGCCATACGTAAAACCGCTTTTATTTTGGATCGTTTGGTTACGTTGTCGCAGAAGACCAGGCCACTTGATTTACGTAAATTGTGTGTACGTTTTCGTAACCGCGTTAAATACAGTTCCCCCGAGTTGCTGAAGAAATATCAAAATTCCGATGGTACCTGTGAAGTTTGCAAAAACTGTGATCAATTCTATTTCAATTGTTTGTGTCTGGAGACAAGCTATGTTACCGAACCAATTGATGGCGATGATATATATCCGGCCAGTGCCTATGATTTACTGTACAGACTGTTGGAAGTGAATCCCCATAAACGTATTACAGCGGAAGAGGCTCTAAAGCATCCATTCTTTGAAGAATGCCATAACAATAACAACAATAATAATCATGCCACAGAATCAATAAAATCATCCCACACTACACCCTCCATAAGTTTAATGGCGGCGGCTGCTGCAGGTGATGCTGTAAATCAATCTCATGACTAAAAAGAAACAGTCATCCATTCAAATCCAGGCAGCATGATTTTTTCCTTAAATTTATTTTGTTGTATATAATTAAATTTGTTTTTGTAATTTTTGATGCTGATATTTTATCTAATTTTTGTTTGCAAATTTACCAAAGCTATTTTGTATTATAAAATATTTAGTGTTGTTGTTATTAGTTATTTAAAAATTACGCTTAACTCTAATTGCTGTAACATAATTTCCTTAGATTTTCCAATTGCACCAGTCATTTCATTTACATTCATTACACCACATTATTTCACACATCATCCATCCTTATTTTTCATATCCATTTTGCATGTAAATAAATCATCAAGATTTTTTTATAAACTATGGATAAATTATTTAAAAAGAAAAACAAAAAGTATATGATAACTTTTTTTGTACATTTTGTACATTCGTATATAGAAACATATATTTTTAGAGATTTTATATACATTTATAGAGAGAACAGCAAGATTAAGAAAGAAGAAGAAGAAAAAAAAAACAAAGAAATATAAGAGTTTATATTTATAAACGAAGTTGTTTTTATTAATTTACTTCTTTTACAACAAACATGTGAGTTTGGTTATGTTATTCAACCACATCAGAGACAAGGAAAAGGTAAACTAAAAATCCCCGGTATTTTATATGGGTCTGTCAAAATATATTGCAACATTATTGGTTAGGAATTTTGTGTTCATTAAAATCTCGAACACACAATTACTTTGGTTGAAAATTGAGCTGGACCATACAAACATCTAAAATGACCAGGAAATCTACGAATCATAAAATCGAGTATTCCCTGAGTTTGTCTATCAAGCAGCCTATGTGCATTCTATGTGAATTCTAAATTTAATCTTTAGACAAATATATCGACTTTGTCCCTATCGCTCCATTACTTACCTCTGACAACTGGTATTAATGCACCCCGTATGTTTTTTTTTCATAAAAAGTATATTTTTTATTCAAAAACTGTTTTTTTATTTATTTTTTCCTAAAGCTAATAAAAAAATTAACAACAATGTTAATTAATTTCCTATCCCTCCTTCATATTTCCCCGTCTACTTTTAATTATGTTTCCATTTTTTGTGTTTTCGCCTTTTTCGATGTACTAGCTCCACCATCTTCCTCCTCAGCAATAGTCTCAACCTTAATGCGTTTACCAAGTTTAACTTCTTCTTTGGTTGGTTGTGTTTCCATACGACGTTTCTTGGGTTTCTGATAACATCCATAACCGGCAGCACGTTCGGACTCTTCTATGGAATAGGGTTCCACTTCCAAGGCCTTTAGGCGTCGCTTGTGTACCTTGGAACGGAAATGTGTTTGCATGGCATTATCATCGATAAAGTACTTGGCACAATGGACACAATAGAATTGAGCAAAACCGGGCTTTTCCAAATCGACTGGCTGATTGATGAGCTCTGCCGATTGGTTTTGTAAATCTTGGTCGATTAGATCAAGATCACGGGTACGATTACGTACACGCCAGCGTCTCTGCAGGTGAGTATCACCGGAGTGCATCTTCTTTCTTTTCTGTACCATACCCATGATGAAGGCTGTGGGGTTTTGGGTAGCACTTCTTTAGGAAAAAAAATAAATTGGGAAATGTGTTGGTAGGCTGACCCGTTGAAGGTCTTCTGCTGTTGCTGCTTTGGTAAACAAAGCAAGTTAACACGTGTTTTTGTTGTAGCTCTCCGTACAATTGCTTCTAATTGAATCCCTTACGAAAAATTCGTATCTGAAAAGAGTAATAATAAAAAAATATTGTTGTTTTTGTTCTGAATTTATTAAATTGCGTTTTAAATACCTTCAATATTCAATGAAAAAATTACTTTTCTTCCTCCACGATGCACGTTTGTGGTTGGAGCTGGCAAACAAGAGATTTCATTAGAGATGGTGGTGGTATCGATATATTTTTACTTCACTGTTATCGATAGTAATGACGAAAGTAGAGAAAAAGGTTAAACTAGCCGCTAAAGGTCGAGAATCAAAACAAAACAAGTAAAATGTGCGTAGGCTGAGTTAGGCCGAAAACAAACTGGTGCAAAGGTTCTAGAGATCGACTTTTGTTCACAGAAGAGGATTGAAATGAAGCTAAATAGTATTTACCGCCATCTAGTGTAGTATAGTGTTAGTGATGGGCTTACATTCAATTGCTATCCGTAAAGTATGCTACATTTTTGTTATGGGAAGGGTTTTATAGTTCAAAATAATTTTATATATATTTTATACGTAGAACAAATAATATAAGTCAATCCTTAACATCATTTTATATGAGACAAGTGTGTATTTTTATAGATTAGGAAAATATATATAGAAAATGGAATGGAAAATAATATATTTTATAAATATGTTTTAATTTAACCGTTTTTATTCAGCATAATTTCCTTCCAGTGTGTTCTCTGTATATTCGATACCATTTTTGAAGTCTGATTTGCCCTAAACCTCAAAATAGACCTCAGTTTCGGAAATAAACTCTTTATTCGACTAACATTTCTACAAAGCGAGCATTATTTTGGTATCTGAGAAGAGGAAAAAGACGCTAGGTGCCATATCTGGGGATTACAATGCATGCGGAAGATTTTCGGAAGCCAATTCATGGATTTTAGCCAAATATTTCAAAATTTCAATAAAAATGCGGATATAAATACAAATTCATGTGTTGGGTGCCATTGTGAACAGTTTTTCCCAAAACTTCGGGAGATCTCTCGCCGTGTTCTATCTATGTTTAGAAAAAACGGACTACCCTTAAGGGAGTAGTCTGTCAAGTGTTGGGCGCCATTGTCAAAGTGAGAGTTTTGGTGAATTCTTGCATATTATGGAAGTCCATAAAGTATTTTTCTAAAAAACCAATAGACGTCTAATAATAAATAATCGATTTTTGTTGAAAAGTTTTTTTCGTTTATTCAAGTGTTGGGCGCCATTCGAAACATTACCCTCAAGAGAATTTTTAGACCTTAGAAAAGAATGGTTAATATTTCTTGGATTGCCATAAATTAAAAAAATGGAATCTTTTTTAGGTCTCCTTTAGGTCGGATATACTCTGATAAAAAATCAATAGGGTTTTGTAGGACATTTTTAATTTAGAATACCAGTAGCTTTTCTTAGAAACAAATCTGTACTGAGTTCTTATTAAATACTATTTATCTGAATTTCATGTTACCCCCGTTTTGGGCGCCATTGAAAATAGTTTCTGGGAATCTAAAGAAATATTCCTAGAATGAGTAAGGGTTTTTAGGAAATTCACATATACAGTTGAAATTTTTTATAACAACCTCTGAGGGACCCAGAAAATTGGTCGCTATAAGCGCTGTCAAAGAAATGATAGAACTGCTTTCGGGATTGTTTTATATCGGCGTTATAACCGATATATATTTACAAACGGTGTGGTTAATACGATTTCAACTGTAATTATTTTATTTATTTAATGTAAGTGTTGGGCGCCATTGGTAGCAGTTTTCTTCTAACAACTTTTCAGCTTCTGATGAAAAATGTTTCAAATATTTGTACGTTTAGCATTTTATAAAAACATTAAAAAAAATCAAACATTGTTTCTTTTTTATTCAAGAGTTGGGCGCCATTGGATACATTTTTCTCATAACAACTATTTGAGACTTTAAGACTTTGGGCGCCAATGAAAACAATTTCCATCTAATAACTTTTCGGGACCTCAAGTTTAGTAAAATCTTTTTTTAGAAGCTATTTTAAAATATTGAAACATTTTTTATTTTATTCAAGCGATGGGCGCCATTGGGTACATTTGACTATTAACAACTTTTTGAGTCTTTTGGAACTTTTAATACAGAGTTTCAAACATTCCTAGGATGACTAAATTTTTTTTATGTATAAAATCTTTTTAAACAAATATTTAATATTGTGCGCCATTAAGAAAATTTTCAAATATAACTTTTTGAGGCCTAGGATTAGGAAGTTTTTTCTAAATTTAAAATACATTTCTCTTTTCAGTAAAGTGTTGGGCGCCATTATCTCAAATAACTTTTTGAAACCGCAGAAACTCATAGAAAAACATTTAACACTCTATTATGAGTTTCATAGGATTATCATTAAATTCCAGACAGTTCCAAGTGTGACATATGCCATTCAGATTTATAAAATTAATCCGATAGCTCTCTTAATTTTCTTACATTTGTTCCTAAGCGTACTTTCTTTTGTTTACTTTATGTTTTAAGGCTTTGCCTTGCAAAACATTGCCGCTAAGTATTTGTGTTTTGTGGCCTAGGCGAAACGGAAAATAGCTGGTGTTTTATATTCCAATGGTGTGTTTCGCATTATTGACTTTTTAGATTGCTGCCATGGCTGCTGCAAATCAAATCAACATCAGAGAGAGGTTTTCGTCTTCTTCGTTGGATAAACCTGGGATTATGGCCATTGGGTAGCAATCATTGGCCTCTAATGAATGGTGGCTGAAGTTTGACAATGTGTTTTCTATGAATCATTTTCGAGAGGGTGGCTTGGTGTTTACGTTCCGTTGTGTTTTTGGTGTTCAGTTCATGTCCGAATTCTTGTCATCCGCATTGAGATTTGTAATCATTATACCCCTCAACCAATGTTGAGTAGTGTACACAAGTGATTTTTCTTTGTGGTGTGTGTGTGCGTGGCCTGCAGAATCAATGTTGATTCTGTGTGTTGGGGATAATTCCAAATTGAGACAGTGCTTCCAAAGCAAAGCACAACTGTTTATGTAAATAAACATGTGGTCGTAGCTTTGGAGAAGAGTAAATAAAATTAAGTGTCTTGATACACCACCGCCTATTTATTCATTAAGACCCTGGTTGGTTGACAGAATGACTTGATTTTGGCTTTTGTCGAATTAGCATTACCAAGCAACATGTTCATGTAGCACTTGATTTTAATTCGGAAATTTATTTCAATTGCAGGTTGAGTTTTTTGAAACAACAAATCTATTGTTTTAAAAAAAGATTCCCTTTATAGGGTAATCAGGCTGAAGTAATAATAATAAAAATTTGTTACAAACATGTCGGAGGGTGTAACTGCCTTTCTGACTAACTTACTACTTTTTTTGTCAACTACACACCCCCTGCCCTATACCTCCTCCCTCATTTAAACTCTATCTCTGTTGTGGGATGCTGCTGCATTGAGGCAAACTGAAAAAGAGTGTCAATGTAACCGAGTAGCAGAGTCGCGTGTGAATATTTAAATTTTATTAAAGTGATTTATGCCCCAGGGGGATGTTTTCTAACCCGATGACAACGATGTGATGACATGCATTCAGCAGCAGCCGCATTACCATTACCAGCAACCGGCAGCATAAACAATTGCTGGTGGTTGCCACATAAATTTGTTCTTTTTTATTATTGCGCGTTATGCTGTTCGCTGTTGTCGTCGTCTATTTTTGCCATTCGTTCCGTATGCTACGAACTGTGGAACTGACTGACTGCCAGCCTGCCTGCCAGTGGAGAGTGGCTGACTGGTTTTTTGGGTGTTGAAAAGCTTAGTGGCTGCTTATGATAACCGCACGCGACTTCAATGATGTTGTAAACTGACAGTGACGGTGTCTAACGCCGCCCAACGCCAATTGTTGCAATAACTTTTATTGCCTGACAGCTGGAATAAAGCGAGTCAAACATTGTCGCTTGGCCACAAAATGTTTGACAAACTACTGTGAAAAAAAAACAGCAACAACAACAGAAAATTTATATTTCCCTGTTATATTAATTTGTTGTTTTTGTAAATAATAAAAACAAGAAAAAAATAATTTATGATATTATTTTGTAATGGATTGTAAATGAAAACAACAACAAAGGGGAGGGGAGAATATGATTGATTGGAAAACAAGTTGTACAATGAGATTACTTCTTGGAGAATCGCTAGCTAATCCCATATAAAATAAATAATTTTTATGAAACTTTTTTGGAAAATATTCTAATTTTTGAGGGATCCAGCAGCTTTTCTCATTAAAAATAAACAGTACGGAGATCTTATTTCATTTTTATTCCATTTAAATGTTGGGCGCCATTGATAGCAATTTTCTTTTTAATAACTTTTCGCGATTGCAGAAGCTTATAATGAAGTTTTAATTAGTCCTAGGTTTAGTAAAATATTTTTTTTTCAAGTTAAAAAATTATACTTTTTTCCTTTTACTTATATTCAAGCGTTGGACGCCATTGGGTACATTTTTCTCCTAACAGCTATTTGAGACTTTAAGAATTCCCATTGAATTTTTTATTCCATTTAAATGTTGGGCCCCAATTATAGCAATTTCCTTCTAATAACTTTAAGGGACCACAGAAGCTTATAATGAAGTGTAAAATGGGCCTAGGTTTAGTAAAATGCTTTTTTAAAACAATTTTAAAATATTGAAACATTGTTTTTATTTTCTTCAAGCGTTGGGCGCCATTGGGAACAGTTTCCTAGGTAACTCCTTGAGACTACAGAAGCTTATTACACCCACCTCGCTTTGATTATCGAGTTCTTTTTTATAAAATGTTTATTAATTTAAAATACATTCCTCTTTTTCTTTCATTCAAGTGTTGGGCGCCATTTAGAACATTTAATTTTTACCAAACATTT